CTGCATGCTGTGTTAAATGTGTGTCTACAGTTTAATTGAAAAAAAATAAATCTGCATTCTGCTTCTGAATTAAATTAGAGGCTCTTCCGTCAGGTTCATTTTACTAGCGTGCCTGCATCTCAAATCAGCCCACATAAGGAGGGTGAAGAGGAACAGAGCAGCTACTCTGTACTGCAGATCTCACTGAATATATGCAGCGGGGGCAACTCAGAGGTATCTACCAGGCCCAGAATATTTCTTTTTCCGTGTAATTTCCGAAGTGTGGGGGACTTAGGAAAGTGGCCCCTCACATTCTTTCCGATTTCAATGACGGGGAAGTCAGGCTGACTGCAAATATCCCTGAGAAGCTCACACCTTATGTAAATAAGAGCTGGGTATCAGATGAGTAGGAACTTCAAAACGCTTTAAACAGGCACGGCAAAGTGAAACAAGCCCACCAGGCTCATTCTGTGAGGCAGCAAACTTCTCCCATCAAGTTTCCAGATGAGTTTGTGATGGTGTGATGGGATGGGGAGAGAAGGGGAGGAAACCCAGCCTTCTGCATGGCCCTCAGCACCCAGGCTGTGCCAGGGAGGGTGAACCAACAGGGGTACTACAGCTTCCACCCTCATCCCTCGCTTCCCCAAGGGCCATGGCAGATCTGAGCAAGGTGACTGATGTGCAAACATGCCTCATTAGGACAGGATGAATCGGAGTAATTGGCCGTGGAAAGGTCATTCCAGCTAAGGAAACCCTCCAGTGAGACCTGACCGGATTTAACTACTTTTATGTTCTCCTGTCCCCCATGGCATCACCAGGAGAAAAATGTGACTGGCCACGAGCCATAGAAATTCACATTTTGCCTTCCTGGGGCAGTGGGGGCTGCAGGAATACTGCGCCAAGCTCCTGTGTGGTACATGGCCAGTACACACCTACAGCTGCAGAAGTGCCCAATTTCCCCTATATGAGTTTTCTGGAGCACTCCATAAGCTGCAGCCAAATACTGTGCTCTCAGCATTGTTTTCTGGCCACTGATTAATTATCTTCGTAGGTTGAGTGTTCGTTGACCGGTGAAATCAAAATGAATGAGGTAATAAAAGACATGGGAAAACATAAGGAATCAATATTTTAAGGACTGTTCTGACTTTGTACAGCCCAGCCTTAACATGGTCTGTAAAACCAGTCCCAGGAAAAGGATGAAGTCACAGGTATGACAGAAACGAGACATGCCTTCACAGACAAGTGACACTAAATTATGCTGATTTTAGTCAAACGTTCCTGGTCTCCTCATCTTTCTAAATTTTCCTATTCTAAACAGACACAAGTTGGAAGTGGAAGATCTGGTCTTCCACTCAGACTAATGGACTAACAAGCCTGGAGCCAACAGAATTTGGTCAGAGTAAAAAACAGCATTTTAAAAAAAATTAAGCCTCTTTAGGAAGTTTTACGTTGCTCATTTACAATTTGAACCCCCCTGCTCATTTCAAGTTTCCTAGTAAAACTCAATCCCAATACAAAGAGACTAGAATCTCTGTCTTTTTATCACAAAAACAGTGTTTTCCATATTTTTCCCAGCTTTAGTTTCCCCCCTGCTTTCTTCCTCCTTTGAACTGCACAACTAACGCAGTCCTATGTACATCCACCACTATCATCTGCAGAGTAGTCAGAAGACACAGTTAATTTACTACTGCCAGCTGCTTGCTGTTGTTGTCATTAACAATCTCCATTTAATAAAAAGCTTTTATCAAAATTGGTTTTCCTGGAGTACTTTTATTTTTCCCAGAAAAGGCATTAAAATTAATTTGTTTTCACTCGGTCTGTACTATTGAGCGAATACAGCAAGGAACAAAAAAGATAAACATGTGAGAGAAACCCCAAAGAGAAGGTAATGTAGAAAGAAGCAATTCTGTTCTAAAGTAGATTATACTCCTTTTTTCCCCCCTTCTTTGCTTTTGAAAGCAAAAAAATGATTGAAGACCGGTAGAAAACAGTGAATTGTAGCAGTGCTTTGGTGCACAAGGGAGATGCTCCCCTTCTCCACGGCTCCCTGTGGCTCCTTTACTGGGTGAGGCAGAGGTAATGCTGTGCAGAAAGATTTGACCTGAAAGTTAGGGACAATTCACAGGATTTTCTGCTGGAAATGCACTGGACTCTTTGCTGGTGCTCTGCATTTCACTGACCTTCCTCCAGCGGTGATGCTCTTCCCTTTGCATGTTTTTCACACAGAGCCTCTGCCTGCACTACCTTGGAGCACCAGTTTATTTTTGATATCACAAGGGTATGAAGACATTTCAACCACCCTGCTATGCAAGAAGCCACAAAAACTTCACAGGATATAGCACTTCTGGAGGATAAATGAAGTGAAAAGGGACACCAACTCCTCACTACTGTGTTTTGATGGTGGTTAGTTACTGACCCAAATGAGAAGCTGTGCCATTAGTTCTAAGAGGCCTGTGGGGATTCTGCATGAAGCTGCAGCAAGGCTAGTTCATTCATCACAGATAGATCCTTCCTTCCTTCCTTCCTTCCTTCCTTCTTTCCTGCCTTCCTTCCTTCTTTCCTGCCTTCCTTCCTCTCTCTCTTCCCCATTTCAAATTTCTGGCAAAAAACCCCCCCAAAATCAAAAACCAACCAAGCAAAAAACCCCAAAGAATTTCCCCTGAAATCACAGGTTTTGAAATCAGAATATTTTTGGCTAAATACCAATTCAGGGAACTGGGAGCTGTACATGGAGTCCCTCCCAGGCTCACTCAGACTGAACACATCACCCATGCTGTTCCATGAGCCTCTGTTTCAGGGAGGAGGGATGATATGTTATGGGAATTTCATGGTCTGATGCATCATAGAGTATGAAATATGGCATGGGAGATCCACTCCATCTATGAGAATAAGGACATTAAACAACTGAAGTACAGCTCCTCTGAGACAGTAGATCAGAACTAGAATATTTGGGTTTAAGCTGCTTTATCCATAAACTCATTTTTCTGTAAAAAGCAGTTCTAATTAAAAAAAAAAAGTTAATGAACAGCTTTATGTAAAATGGAGGAACATAACATAGCATGGTTGCTGTTCTCTGGAACTGGCTTTGGAAGTGATCTGGAATGCACCCTCCCTTATTAACAAGGAAAATGTTACTTCCATTAAAGAAAGAAACCAACCTTCCCCCCCACAAGCCATCCGTGAGAAACTCTCAGTGTATTTTCTGTTTGAAATTTAAATTTGAGCATAATACCACCCACTTCACGAAATGAATGTGATTAAAATGATGGTTCCTCTTATTTTCAATTAAAATACATTTTAAATGTTTACCTTTCTGCACTAAATGCAAATGCAGATGCTCAACACAGCACTGGGAAACCAGAAGGTGGAAACCCACTGACCCAGTTTCACCGTCCCGGTGGACTAAAAATGCAAAAAAAACCAAAGGAAAAGCTGTAAAAGCATCCCACACCCCCCCTCCCCCAAGCCCACCAGGGCCTCAGACTAAAATGTGCTGTATAACAGTCACAAAACGAAAAACATCAAAAATTAATTGGTGCAGAAAACGGCAAATGAGGTGGGATTTGCCCCACCCGTGACCCCAGTTCCAGAGGTATTGAGGGGGGACCATGTCCAGCAAGGTCCCTGTGCTTTACCAGGTGGAGAGAGCGAGGGGACAAGACAAGGTTTTGGGACGGAGGCACATTTTCACAAAATCACAGAATCACTTAGGTTGGAAAAGACCTCTGAGATCATCCAGTCCAACCTTTGACCCATCACCACCTTGTCAACTAAACCACAGCACTAAGTGCCACATCCAGGTATTCCTTGAACATCTCCAGGGATGGTGAATCCACCACCTCCCTGGGCAGCCCCTTCCAATGTTTAACAACCCTTCCAGTGAAGAAATTCCTCCTGATGTCCAACCTAAACCTCCCCTGGCACAGCTTGAGGCCATTTCCTCTCATCCTGTCGCTGATTATCTGGGAGACCAACCTCCAGCTGACTCCCCACCTCATTTCAGACAGTTGTAGAGAGGGATAAGGTCACCCCAGAGCCTCCTTAACTCCAAATTTTCAGAGATTCCTGATGAAAATGGCCATGAATTGTGAAAAATTAAATAAATGGATTTAGCATGCATTAGTGTTGGATTTAGTATGTATTTAGCATTTAGTAAATAATAATGTATAAAAACCAATATATATAAAAACAATATACTACATATAACAATGTATAATAACTAATACATATAATTTTTATGATAACATGTATAATATATAGATAGTATATATTATTGTATATAATATAAACATAGCAATATATATTATATATTATTGTGTAACTTATGTAAGAAATAATATATATTTATATATAAAGATAATATATTATATATATTATGAATAATATATAATTTATATATTATAGATATATAATTTATATATTCTATATATATAGAATATATAAAATATTTAATATATAATATATGCATATATGAAATAGATATTTTATATTTGTTATAATATATAATACATAATATGTAATACATATTTCATATATCTGTATATATGCATATATGTATATATATGAAAAATGTATAATATATAACATATAATATATATTTAATAACATGTATTTACTATCTTATATATTAATATAATATATTTAATATATAATATAGAATTATAATGTTATATATAATATATATTACATATATATTCCATATATTGTATATACGATAGACGTATCATATATATTTTATATACGTGTATATATTTTATATATGTATATATTATATATAAAAACATACTTTTTATATTATAGAATGTATTTAGTTCTCCTTCGCCCCAAGGGTCGCTAACCCTGACTCAGCCCCCCTCCCATTCTGGGCCCACCCCCGCCGCTCCCCCCGCACTCCCGCGGTTCCTGAGGAGGAGGACGGCCGGGCACTGCCCCGCTCCATCCCTCCATCCCTGCTGTATCCCGGGCATCGGACCTGGACGAGCCCCCGCGCTCCGCTCCCCGCCCCGTGACGTCACGCCCCCGTGACGTCACGGGCCGTATCCGGGCAACGGCGCCCTAGCGGGTCGGGGCGGCCATGGCGCTGCCGCTGCTGCCCGGCTTCTCCTTCCGCCGCAACGTGAGTGACAGCCCAGGGCAGGCCCCTTCCCCGCCTCCCCGCCCGGCCCCGCCGCAGGGGCGGCCGCGGGGGCGCTGCCGGAGGCGGCCCGGCCATGGCGAGGCCTTTCCCCGAGTCCCGGCCCGGCAGGTGCCGGTGGGTGCGCTGAGCGCCCCCGGGCTCGGTGCGGATGCTGTGCGGCAGCACGGAAGGGTCTCGGTGTTAAGCAGCGCCGGCGGGGTTTAGGTTGGACATCAGGAGGAATTTCTTCACAGAAAGGGTGATTAGACGGTGGAAGTGACTGCCCAGGGAGGTGGTGGAGTTGCCGTCCTTGGAGGTGTTTAAGGGAAGGCTGGATGTGGCACTCAGTGACATGGTCTGGTTGAGGAGTGGCTCAGGGAGCTGAGGGTGTTCAGCCTGGAGAAGAGGAGGCTCAGGGATGACCTTATCACTGTTTACAATTAACTGAAAGGAGGCTGTAGCCATGTGGGGCCTCTTCTCCCAGTCAGCCAGTGACAGGACGAGAGGACAAGCTGGACCAGGGCAAATTTAGATTGGACATCAGGAAGAATTTCCTCACAGAAAAGGTGATTAGGCATTGAAAGGGACTGCCAATGGAGGTGGTGGAGTCACCATCCCTGGAGTGTTCAAGGAAAGGCTGGACCTGGCACTCAGTGACATGGTCTAGTTGAGTTGGTGGTGAACAGTTGTGGGTTGGACTTGATGATCTCAGGGGTCTTTTCCAAGCTAATAGATTCTATGATCTGGCAGCTGCTGTGGGGCAGTTGGGTCTCTTGTTGGGAGGGACACATACTTTCTATATAAAGGAAAAAGTCTGCAGAGTGTGATGATGCCAGGGATGCTGATGTGTTTCAGAGCTGCCAATACTGTTAGTGCCAGTGGCAGGCTGAATGGATAAGATGGTGTTTTTATCACAGCAAACAAAATGCTGTGTCCTGTGAGGAGCAGCTGAGAGAGCTGGGGGTGTTTAACCTGGAGAAGAGGAGGCTCAAGAGTGACTATATTACTCTCCACTACTCAGTGAAAGGAGGTTGTAGCCAGGTGGACTCGACCTCTTCTCCCGGTCAGCCAGCGACAGGACGAGAGGACACAGTCTTAAGCTGGGCCAGGGAAGGCTTAGGTTGGACATTAGGAAGAATTTCTTCACAGAACGGGTGATTAAACATTGGAATGGGCTGCCCGGGGAAGTGGTGGCGTCACCGTTCCTGGAGGTGTTTAAGGAAGGACTGGATGTGTCACTCAGTGCCATGGTCTGATTGACAAGGTGGTGATTGGTCAAAGGTTGGACTTCTTGATCTCAGAGGTCTTCTCCAGCCTAATTGATTGTGCCATTCTGTGATCTGGCAGCTGCTGTGGGGCAGTTTGAGCTCTTTTTGCATCTCTAACAGAGCAAACCAGGGAAAGACAGGTATCCTCTGCATAAACCAAAGTCTTTGCAGAGCAGGGGAATGCCATGGATGCAAACACAGTGTTTCAGAGTTGCCAATGCTATTAATACCAATGGCAGGCTGAATAGATAAGATGGTATTTTTAGCCTAGCAAACAAAAGAGAAGCTGCCATCACTACTTCAAACTTGTTCATCAAGGATAGCTAGAAATTTGCTGAATACAATCTGTACTGTGAAGCAGTGCAGGGAGTAAAGGGAGGATTCATGCACAGCACTATAGTTGGTGCTTTCAGAAGGCAAACTAAACTGTAGACTTTCTTAATAATGCTAAAATATCTGGAAAGAAATCTGTCATTTTCACACTGTGAACATGTTGTGGCCAAGGTTGCTCAGATAATTTGTGGATGCCTCATCCCTGGAATTGTTCAAGGCCGAGTTGGATGTGGCTCTGAGCAACCTGGTCTAGTGGAAGGTGTCCCTCCCCATGGAACTGGGAGATCTTTAAGGTCTCTTCCAACCCAAACCATTACATGATTCTGTGATAGAGCCCTCATTTCTGTGTCCTGGATGCTGGGGTGTTTTGCCAGATCCTGAGTCTGATCACCCTATGAGGGAGTATATGGAAGGTGATAATGTAGTTCAGGGACAATTTGCAAATGATTTGTCAAGACAGGTTTTAACGCCAGTGGTACCACAAACATCAGTACCCCTTCAATATGAGGCATGAAATTCCTTAGGAATTTGTGGACTCCCAGCCTCACTCAGTGTGTCAGCACTGCACAGGTGTGTGCAAACACAGGACCTCTTGGAAGAGGATCCCAGTGGGGATTTTTCAGGAAACTCCTTCCCCCTGGAAAGAGCAGGCTGGGTGCTGTTGTTTTAGAATACAAAAAAACAAACCAGACCTGGTGGTGAATACTCAGTCCCTCTTGCTGAATTGGAATTTGTATTATAAAGAGTTGGTTGTGTGTATAACACTTGAGGTGGTTGCCGGGTACACCTGTCAGCAGCACTGAAATAGGTGTGTGCCACTGGTGCCTGCTGGATGGAAGCAGCTCAGTGTTATCCCTGACCTTATTGGTCTCCAAATTTCAATTTAACTTAATTGATTTAATTTAACTTTACATGCTTGGGAAGAGTTACTTATAGAGAGTGTTGGATGCCCCATGTTGAAGTGCATACAGTGAGTATGTTATGAGAACTGAAGGTGTGAAAGCTGTCACAATTGCCACAAGACAGCATTGTAAAACCATGGTTATACCCTTGTTAGGGCTCCAGATTGCTCTTTTCATCAGTCCTTGAGATAGTGGAGTTAATAATTATAACTCACCTTTATGAAAAGCATCCTGATCTCCACTTAGTTGTTGTTGGCTATTAGATTTAATTTTACTTTCATATAGCTCTGCAAATGAGATGCTGAGAACAGCATATAAAGGGGAAAAAAAGTGTCACTGCTATAGATAAATTGAAAAGGAAGAAAGTGTTTTCACCTGTTAGGACTCTGAGCATCACCATCACTGTCTCTTATTGGGCAGAAAAAACAGTGGCAGAGCATTCCTTGAAGAAGGATTCATAGAGGACAGGGGATTGCTGTTCCTGTCAGCCCTTGGTTTATAATTATGGGTATTAATTCCACCCATCACTGGTGGAATTCAAGCTGCTTGTACAACCCTCTTGTCTCTGCACCTGATGCTTCCACTTGCCTTATCTATAGGCCCAGGAGAGGCAGTAGAGGGAAGCACATACGTGTTTTGTCTACTTTGGATGTGTTTAATAAAGTGACTGAGCTGCCTCCGAATAATCAGAGCTTTAAGGCGTAAGGGCCACATAGTCTGACTCTGAGGCATCAGGACGACAGTGACAAATGGGGAGTGAGAAAATCTTTTCACAGCACTTGATTCTCTGGATCTAAGAGCCTCTGGCCTTTGTGTTATCCTCCACTATGATCATTATTACTTCTAGCTTGCTTTACCAGGAATGCTGACTCCTTCTCCACCCAGGAGCAGAGATGCTTCCTCTCCAATCGGGAGTGAGGGCAGTGAGGCTGGGCAGCTCAGCTGCCCGTGGTGCTGGCACAGTGAAAGGCAGCATCTTCTGCCTGGTTTTTCCCATTTTTCCCTCCCTCAGCTGCAAGTGACAGCTGCCCAATTCAGCAACATCCCAGAGGGCGATGCTGCTGCTGCATTCCGCATAGCTGGGACAAAATCTTACTGCTCGGGCATCACAGCTGGTGCAACTGGAGGGAAACTCAGGGAAGTGATAGGTGCTTCTAAAACTGATGGAGTGGTTCCTATGGGAACATAAGGTAATGTTTCCTTTGTGCTAAACAAAGAGCAGGGATGAAAGCTTCAGGCACAGCCCAAGCAGTGCCACGTTTGATAGTTGGTTCGATGGCCTGGAGAAGAATGATGGCAGAAGGTGTCAGGAATGTAAAATATTTAATGTCTGCAAAGAGAGGGAAAGGAACCACCTCTGTTTTTTCAAATATCTTTAAAATCAAAATTATAGTATTTTGTGTACACTTAAGTCCATCCATCAAATAAACACCCTTCAACTCTTTTAAAACTCCTGTTCCTTTCCCCTTTGCTGAGGCTGGGGAGGTCAGAGTCAGTGTTGGGAGTGCCCCTGTCTAGTGCTCCTCTGTCCTGGCAAATACCTTAGACAAATGCTGTTGTTGGCCTGGTAGTGGCAGGGTGTGGTACTTACACAACATTTACCACCCTGTTGCATTCAAGAGTTTATTCATTTCTTTATTTTCACAAACAGTAACGTGTGGGTTACTTGCTTGGAAATTTCTACCTGTTGCATCCCCTTGAAAAGGGAAATTCCTCAGTTCTTTTCTTTTGTACCTGCTTTTGAAGCCAATGTTTAAAAGTCTTGGGGAGACCTTGGTACTGTGACTTCTGCCTGCAGAGCCCAACTGGTATTGAAATTGTGCAATGATGACATTTTCAGCTTTGTGCATACATACAAGTTCTATGTGTGTTGCCTGTTTGTCAGGATAGATCTTGATACCCACGTTTAATTCTGCATTCAGTGGAAATGCAGCATATAATAGGTTTCCTCTGTTACTGCGAGAAAAAGTTTGTGTGTTTGGAGCCTGGACCATGTTAGGGATGACACTGGTTACAACACAAGTACTAACTTTGTTAGTGTTCCTGGTCTGCCTCCCATTCTCAAAGGCAGCTGCTCCTTCTGATTCCAGATTGATGTCCTTGCCTTATGTCAGCAGCCAGTGGACAGGACCACATATTCACATGGGTCAGATTGGACCAGTGTATTTTCTTGCCTGAGGTCTGAAATCCCTCTCAGAGAGAGAATTTCGTGCAACAATTCTGCATGGCATTTCTTAGAGAATCAGCCACTAAGTTTATAGATCTCAGGGGAAAATACATCCTTGAAAATACCAGTTTCGGGTATTTCTGTTGCAAACTTCAGTGGTGCAGCAGAGATTCCACTTCTTCCTTGTTTATTGCAGGAGCTTGGAATTGCCCTCAACTGTGCTACTGTTGCTGTCTCTCTGTTTCCTGGTTTATTTTGTGCTGCTCTGTTATCACTGGCACCAAAAAGGGACACTAGTTTTTCTTGACAGAACATTTACCAGCTTCTTTATAAGTAATCCTGCCTGCTGTCCCTTTGTCTTTTCCTGAACTCCTTCCACTACCTCCTGCCCCTCAGCCCTGCTCCCCCAGATCTCTCTCTGTTCAGAGCTCCCAGACCCAAATCTTCCTGTAGCTGCTCCTCATGGTTTCATTTTGGATCCTTTACTGTATCCATCTGTTGTCTTCTCTCAGACTGTACCAGTTCAGGCAGTAAGAGCAAGCCAATAGAATCACAGATTGGTTTGTGTTGGAAGAGACCTTTGAAGATCATCCAGTCCAACCCCCTCCCATGAGCAGGGTCATCTTCAACAAGATCAGGTTGCTCAGTCTTGTCCAGTCTGACCTTGAATGTTTCCAGGAATGGGGAATCCACCACCTTTCTGGGCAACCTGTTCCAGTGTTTCACCACCCTCATTATAAAAAGTTTCTTTCTCATATCTGACCTAAATTAGCCCTCTTTTATTTTAAATTTATAACCCCTTGTCCTATTGCAGCAGGCCCTGCTAAAAAGTCTGTCTCCATCTTTCTTAGGATCCCCCTTTAAGTATTGAAAGGCCAAAATAAGGTCTCCCTGGAGCCTTCTGTTCTCCAGACTGAAAAACCCCACCTGTCTCAACCTGTCCTTATAGGAGAGGTGCTCCATGCCTCTGATCATTTTTGTGGCTTTCTTCTGGACCTGCTCCAACAGATCCACGTCTTTCCTGTGCTCATCCAGCTGTTAGTGTTGATGCACCTTGTTCTGCCCTGTGTTAGAGGGGCACCAGAGTTGTTGGGTCTTAAGGTGTTCCTCCTTTGACAGTGCCACTTAACCTCTGAACGTCCTGAGGGCTCTGCAACAAGGCAGGGATGATAGAAGAGTTTAAAATCTGAATTTGACCAGCACAGTATGCAGCATTTGCATTTATTTCCATTGCTTAGCTGAAGCAACCAGGAGACTGTATCAGCAGCCTAGAACAGTTCAGAAGTGCCACAGTTCATCCTGATACAGGATTTGAGCAGGGCATCCACAGTGGGAATTAAAAATAGATATGGGGTAGAGAACTGGGCTGCTACCAGTGACTTCTGCCATAACTCCTCGTGGGACTGGGTTGCAGACATGTGGCTCTTGGGACAGGGTGTGCCACTGAGGCTCCCCCATCACTCCAGGTGTATTTGGTTCAGCTGAAATGTGCAGCTCCCTGATGAGTTTGCTGTGACTGTTGCAGAGCAGGATGGAGCGAGCACAAGGCAGTATTCCCCAAGGGCTGCAGTGTCTGAGTTTGCAAAGCCAGTAGCTGCAGTCAGAGAACCCTGACCTTTGCATTAGTCACTATTGAATGTATCCTCAATATTTTTCAGGCTCACTGCACAGAAAATGTCCAGCTTTGTTCAGCAGATCTACAGCCTGCTCAGTTTAGCTGCATTAGCACAGTAGACATAGTCAAGCTATTTCCCTGCTCTCTAAAAGATTTCTTTTAGAAGTCATTTGATATTACTGTGGAGGTAACATTATGTTCTGTCACTATTTTAGGCTGGATGTGGTCTGAGTTCATTAGCTGAAGTTTCCCAAATGTCATTTTTCTCTTTTGTGATCTTCAATTATAATTACTGTTTTTCTTAAACTTTCTATTTTTGTTGTTGTTTTGGGCTTTTTTTAAAGAAATAACTGTGCAGACTTTTAGAAGAGATTGTTTTGCCTATGGATTTGGGTTTTCTTCTGGAGCAGGGGATTATAAGTAATTCTTTGATTAGGATTCTAAAATAATCTTTCTGTCAAACCCTAAAAAGTTACAAAAAAGCCACAAAAGATTCTTAACGGGACTGAAGCTGTTTGGCCATGGTTTTTCATATCTAATTGTGAAGGATGTTGTGATTTTTAGCCCTAAATTCTGGAAATTGGCAGCAGGACCAAACCTGGATAACTTTGATGAACACTTTACCATACTGTAGCTCACTAAAACCCAGAAACATATGAACAGCAAATGCTTCTAGAAGAAGCTTTGAGGACATGAAAAGCTTTCCTTTGCTGAGGAAAACTCACCCTCACCATGCTTTTCTAACTGTGCCTTTCTCTCTAACTCACTCTTTGGTAAGAGGGGGAAAATAATTAAATACTTTCTGTGCCAGCAAGTGAATCTGTTCTATAGCACCTTAGTATAAATCAGGTGTTCTTGCCTAGAAACTTCCCTTTAAAAACTCAGCTTGACTGTAGTTATTCTACATTTGAACTGATAAAAGCAGGAATCCCCCTTCCTTTCTGACTTCTCCCCAACTCTTCATCAGGTTACTGAGGAACAAAATTATTGAAAAGAGAAATAGAAGAAGCAAGAGCAGTTGAGAAGCACCCAAAGGAGAGGGAGGAAACCATCCCAGGTGTGGATGTGTGACAAAGCAGGTGCCAGCCCCTGTCAGTGCCTGTCTGTTCCAAATTCAGGTACCAGGAGAGCACCTGCACTCACATCTTGAGGAAGGGGTGGAATAACCACATGAATGATGTCTGAATGTCAGTGCTGACACTGCATACTGAGACATGACATTTTATATATCAGAGCGCAAAAAACTGTGCCAATGAAATATTTTATTTTGGGCATTATTCCTGCAAATGTGCAGTTCTTTTTTCAGTCTGGTTAAATTCCTGGCTTGAGCAATGCTCTGTGGTATGGGGAACCATGGGCTGCTAGTCAGTACACAGGCATTTCCTTTTGTTGATTTTTCTCTTTTATTCAGAACCCTTGTTCTTGAGTTATACGGTGCGGGAGTACTTGTTTTTTCCCTTTGTATTATTCTTTAAACTATGATACTTGTCATGTGCCCTTTTATTCACCTTTGTTCAAAACATTGCTTACCTTTTAAATATCTTTTTTGGGGATGTGCTTCCATACCACTGCTTGTTTCTGTCCTCAGAATGTGAACCTTATCTCATTTTGCAGTGACTATTTCAAAGGCTAGCTCAGCTTCTTTTAACCTAAGCAAGGTATGGCCATTGATTATTATGGTATTAAAAATACTAATTTGTAAAAATAGTAAGTATTCTTTTTCATACCACTGTCCTTGCAGAAGTATTTTAAGCAAAGGTTAAGCTAAAGCAGTGATTGAGCAGTTTGCGTCAGCATCTCTCCATCCTGTGTCATTGGATTTGGAGCACCTTGAGGCAGGGGAACAGTTCAGATTGTGACCTCCAGTGTGCAGTAGTTTGTGTAGACCAGCACTGAATGTTATGTGCCATGAGGCTGGTTCACTGCCTTTCAGATTCCTGACTCTCTTTCATATTGGCAGAATGAAATAACTACTCAGGTACTTTCAGGTTTTGCTGCTTCACTGCTTGCACTTGTTCCCAGAACTGCTGTGCTGAGCTTGTGTTACGTTATCTTGGAGAATTGAGTGTTACCACAATGCAAAATGATTATTTGTACCATTTTTTGATTTATGATAGTAACTTCGAGCTGTCTACCCCTTTCTGGGGAGCAGTGGTTTACATATAAGCCTGTGATAATCAGTGATGCCAAGTGTAGTGGGGAGGCAATTTTGTCCCTCTGCTGCTTTACCAACACACCTGCTCTGGTGCTGCTGTCAAAAATGTTACTGTCCAGCCTTTTCCTCTACCAGGGCCTTTGCTGGGCTCATTCATGACATGAGTTCTTCCCCCTTCAGCCTCATCTTCCCTCCCAGGCTGAGGGAGGGCACAGCTGTGGTCCTCTCTGTTTCCCCTTACCAGGTGTGCCGGGGTGCAGTTACCCAATGTCTCCTCTCTGCCTTCCCAGATAAAGTATTTTGAGGATTTGAGAGGGCAAGGAAGGGAAGAATAGCAGAGTGAGAGGCGCTAACAAGGCAGGATTGCTGCTCGTGGAAGGAAGTGGAGCTTTCTGTTGGCTTTTCCTATTTCCCTGTCCTGTCCTATGAGACCGCTACCTGGGGTCATTAGGGAATTGCTGCCCAAGCACAGCACAGCTGCCTCTGTTGGAGGGAACTGGCCAGCAAAGCAGGCAGCTCTTTAGGAAGGATATTCTCACAGACAGGAGTGATATTCATGTGAGACCAGAGGCTTTTCTGTGTTATTTTAAGACTGGCTCCAGCCCCAGCCAAGAAATTCAAGTGGGCAAGATGGGTTTCTTTGCAGTTGGTTGTTCCTATATTTTTAAGCACTCCATCCTTAATTGCCTGAAAAATTAGTAATAATATAGAGAAATCACGACAGAGACCTTGTTTTGAAATAAGCCCAGATGGAATATATATTCTGTCGTTTGATTCAGGTCCAACCTCCCAAAATTCAAGTGTATGCACTAGTGCAGAGGAATTTATTTCGCACTCGGGGACACAAGTGCAAATAAGATCTTTGACGTGAGTAACGAGAGCAGGCTGTTCTCTGAGTGCTGCTGAACTGTTTCCATTTGCCCTCTGGAGAGCTGAAGAAAAGGCTCTTCCCCTCTACCTTTTACAACAGTTCTTGGGAGTGACTTGCTTCTTTCTACCACACGCCTCAATCCTTGTTTCAGGGAAGGAGTGTGTGTGGGAAACAGTCAGTATTGTCCAGTCTCTCAGCCTGGGTAAATTACTGGAATATTATTCCATTTTTGTCTGTAAGACTGGCAAATTGACCACTGAAAAATGTCACTTCACTTGCAGCATTCCAATTGTTCCAAGTTTTTAGGTTCTGTGTTAAAAATAATCATAGAGAAACTTTTGCATGATTAATCCTCCTTGCCTAGATAGTTAACTATTGTGGATTTAAAGACAAACACACAGGCAATTTTTTCTCTCTTTCTTCCAAACTTTTTACAGATAGGGGGAGAAAATTTCCACAAGCCACAGCGCTGGGGTTACTGCAATAATGTTCCCATGCTGTTTGAAGAAAAACCTGGAATAGGAGGTCAACCGTTACTTGATCAGAGGCCGAAACCTAAATACACTGAATTTCCTGAAGGAATGGGAAGTAGTAATCCTCCAGCTTGGATAGCATTTGACAAGCAGGTATGTAGAAATCCATGTCTGTGTTTTTTTATGAATATCTACAATATGACAGAGTATAAAGAGAAATTCAGTTAGATATTTTAGAAGATTATTTTGTGTGTGTAAAAAAAGCTCCTAGATACACAATAAGAGGGGTAGCAGGTATTTTTTCATTATATTCACATACTGGACAATTAATGTAAACATATATCCAGCAACACATAAAAATATTTCTCTATTGGAGTGTATCTTATACAGGATGTAACAAAACTAAGGGAGTGGTCAACATATTTCTTTTTAGTGAGAATGGTGACAGTAAAGGAATTATTTGGCAACCTGGTAAGAGTGAATGTAAGGTAGACCCCAGTCCAGGAGAAGAGGTGCTTGGGCACTTGGGAACCCTTAAACTCAGTGAAATGCAATGTGCTTGGGATTCACTTATGCCATTGTATTTGCATGCTCAAAGTCCTGTTAACTTTTGTGTGAGCTGTTCATGTTAATAGATCATGGCCATTATAGACCCAGCAATTTAAAATGAGTATTTTTGTATTTTATTTTGCCAGAATGTAGTGACACCTTTAAAGTTAGAGAGTTATCAAATAACAGTAATCTGTGATGACAGGAATTCTGTAGCATACTTGGTACTTTCCATGTTTAAATTTACATTGAGTTCTACTTAGTGATGTTTTATTTCTAAAAGCAAAAAGCCTGCTATCAGAGAAGGAAAATGATCCAGAAAAAAAAATCATTCAGCAGATCACAGAAATGTTGCATTACTAAATGATTGCTGCCTTTAAGTTTTGGAAAGAATGGCTAACCTTGTAATTTTTGCTTTAAAAGAGAAGCCATGCAGGTAATTGCAGTACAATTACACATTAATCTTTGGCAGACCAGAACTACAATAAGAAGGTGTAAGGCTTGAGCAGCTACACATGCCTTTGGTTGGCATTGCCTCTGAAATCCCTGTATTGCTCACAGGGGTTTCAGCAACATGCTCAGGTATGAACTGGTCCAGCGTGTTGAGGTGTGAAGGTTTCAGCCAGTCCTGCACCTGCCTTAACTTCACCCTTCTTGGAACAAGAAGGTGCGTATTGGCTTCTCAGGGCCATGTGTAAGTTGGCAGGCCTTGGATCCAAGTTTGTGGAATAAAACGGTTAGGTAGGAGGCAGAAGGACCTGCCACTGAGCATCAGGCCCTTGGCCTTGGCTGGTGAGAGGAGCTTGCTGGCCTTTTGACATTCCTTATCTAATCAGTTTGTGCCTCCACAGGGCAGTACAGATCAGGAGTTTGCAGGTTTGGAATTGGCCTCTGGAGGGGTCATGTGTTTGCATTAGTTGCAGACTGTTAAAGGGTACTGACTACCCAACTAATGTAGCTGCCCCATTGAAGACCCTGGAATGCAGCTCTGTCCTCTGGTGCTGCAGTTCGTAGCTCAGCAGAATGGACTATGTGACAAATGGGTTGAGCAGGTGTTTATCTTTTGAAATGTAATCTGTTTTCTTACCATTTTTCTTTGGCTTCTAACTTTCAGCAGTACCAGAGTAACTGGAGGAAGGACAGGCACAAAACTTCATTATTAAGTAGGCTGAGAAATAGTTTTTGCAATTCCATATGCCTAATAGGAAGCAGGTGTAAATTTAATTTCTTTTACAATTAAATACACACACAAGGCCTCCTGGGCTTGAAATGATGTTTGTAATTTGGCTACCACAGGTGCCAGAAAAGCCTTATGCCAACTTTACAAAGTGCCACAGAATTTATTCAGTATTTGTTACTGTTGGTTTTCAGAGGTAACATTCAATTTCTTAAAGCATGGGATGGGAACTTTGCACACAACAATGTACTGCAGATGAGACATGAATTAGGAAGTGTTGCATTTTGAGTATTTTTAACACTGACTTTGCTTCAAAATGAGAAGTAAGTCATCTTCTTTTCTGTTCCATCCCCTCCTCACCCTCCCTGAATCATCTGCTTTGATCTGCAAAATTGCAGTTGGTTGCTGCATATATTTCCGTCATACAGTAGCATGTTGATAAGGGTATGAAGAGAATAAAGTTTATATGCAAACCTGCACAAACTCCTCAAATGGAATAAACGAGGACATAGATGAATGCTCAGAGAAAGAAATAAGTCCAGTGTAGTAAGGGTGTGATTGTGCTTGGAGTTCTGTGCAAACAGCCCATTGTGCCTGGCTGGTGTCTCTTGAGACAACCATTCTCAGGAAAGATCATTGACAAAATTAAGAACAGTTAGTAATGAAAGAGGGCTTTTGAACAGTGTGTTTGTTCAAAAGTCTATATTCTAGTGGGATTGGCACAACAGGGAGAAGAGGGTACATAATTTTCCATGTTTCCAATGTTTGCATGGCTTATCAGCAGCTGGGCAAGGAATGAAGTTCTGATCCTTGTCAGCTGAACCCCAGGATGGTCAGTATAATTCCACCATAGTACCTCTTGAGTCCCCTGCAGTATTCAAGAGATTTATACAGAGCTCCTAGTCATTCCAGAATAGTACCTGGGGGCCAGGAAGGATAACTTGGTCATCTAAAATGGCACTCTGCACCAATGTTTAGACAAATGGAAGGAAGAGGAGATGTTATAGGTTGATAGAGTTTGTGTTGGCTTTGTTGTATGTCAGATGTTTGTGTGTTTGATACATAAAACAGTGAAATCCACAGTTAAAAATGTGGACAGAATGAATTTTTTATTTATTTTCAACTATTTAGTCTGTAGGTTGTTCAGAAACTTTCATGTTGTACTAATTAAACAAGCCACAACTGATGGTGTATAGATTCTTTTGTGTGAAGATATAATGCCATCAGGTTTAACAGATAACAGTTATGTCATTTGATTATAATTTGAATTTTATTTCTCTAATGGTGGAGGGTCATAGTGCAGGAGAGTTGATGCCAAAAATGTGTCTGTCATACTGTTTGATGAATGATGAAAATCAGTGGGATCTGAGCCTTTGAAATAATTTTTGGAAGAAGAGTTTTTCTAATCTTGCACCTAATCCGCCCAAGAGAAGGGAATGTGGCCTGTTGAGAGGTCTGAGTAGGACACAGGGTGGTGTTCTTGTGCTCCTGGGCAAGCTGCTGCAGATGTGGGAAAGGAGGTTGTTTTTGTCTGTTGGGTGTTTTAAAATGGCTGTCACCAGTACTCGTGGAAGTACGTTGAGATTCCCAAAGGCACGTGCTAAAGGAGTGCAGGTTATTAACCAGTGTGTTCTGTCATGTAGGAAGCTCAACCACCTTACTGGATTTCAGACATTTCAAGTAAAGGTCTGATAGAAGTTTGTTGAAACATAGGGAGCAGCTAAGTTGTCTTTTTTTCAATGCTTCAGTTTGTCTGATAAATCAAGAGTAAAGGTAATTGAATTTATTAAATATAACCAGTATGAAAAATGAAGTATAAATCAGCACTGATTTGACCCAACTGTGTTGGAGGGGGCAGGATGAAAACCTGTTTTAAGGAATGCCTTTCTGCACATACTTAGCATAGCAAGCATCCTGGTAGATAATGCACTACCCAGTAGATGTGTCTTGCATATTCCCTCAGAATTGCAATTCTTCAGTTGTTGATTGAAGACCATAAATGATACCAAGAAATGCAAAAGTTGTGTAATGGTTTGCCAAGTTTGAGCCGAGACTTCCAGACAATAAAGGCCACTGTATAAACCACTGAGCACCTCCCCTGTGAATGTGAGGGTTTTGGCATTAATGCTATTGCAAGAGTCCATGAAGAGCAGTTGCTGTGCTCTCTGAGATTTCCCCACTCACTGAATTGCAGAACCAGGTAAGTTTTGAAATGTCAATATTGCACAGCTGTAAATGACTCCTGAAAAATGTCATTTCTCTCTGATCGTCTTCAATGCCATTCATTTGAAAGCTTTCAGGATCTGCTTAAAAAGAACTCTTTCCACTTACCTCAATGGTAAAGCCATTGCTGTCATGATGCACTTTATTTTTCAGTAATTCATACAATAGCAGTCTCAAAATTTGCTTCAGTACTTGGGTAGCTCATTGTGTTATCAAAAATGCTTTGTTGGAGAGATTTTTCCAAGCAGCCTGCTGCTAGTTTTATATTTGATTTATTTCTATACTTTAGAGTTCCATCTCTGCTTAGATGTTGTGATAATAAAAATGCCAAGCAAAGAATTTTAAATTTATGTGATTTAATGTGGATTTCTGTTCTTACATTTCAGAGAAATAAATCTACCTCCTGAAATGTAAACATTTAGTTACTTATAATCTATACAAGTTTATTTGATGTATTTTGCAAAAGTGTTGGAGATTTTGCTGCTTTATATTTATTCTTTTTTTTTAATAGGTGTTGTGTTTTCATGCCTATTTTGAAGAAGAAGTGCCTGACAAAAATCAAGAGCTTTACAGAATCAGACACTGTAAAATATTCTTCTACCCTGAAGATGATACAATTCAAGTGACTGAACCCCATGTGCTAAATAGTGGCATAGATCAAGGTATGTATTTTTAATAGCAATCTTTTTTTTTTCCTTTATATTTTTCTTCAGTACAGTCCTGGGCCATTCCAAAGGATACATAATGTGAGTTCTTATAGCTGAAATGGGATGTAACTGCACAACTATAATTGTCTTTTCTTGTTACAGATCATGATGTGAGCATTTTTATTGTCTTAGTTTCTCATCAGCAGGCTTTGTAAGGCTGAATCCCCTCCCATACTCAAACATACAATTTTTTCTCTAATACAGTTGTTTGAAATCATAGGATGGTAGGTCTTTGTCAGTGTTGTGTCACTTCTGTGGAAGCAATTTGTGTTCTGGGTCTCCATTCCCGAGTCTGGCTCCTCCCATCTTGGCACTGACAGTGAGTTCTGTAGCAGCAGCTCTGTAATTGTTCATTAGCTACAACAGTGTCTCTGCTATTGTTGAAGAAGAGCATCTTTTGTGCCTCTGACTCTCGGTTCTTTTGTGATTAAAGTGTCCCTGGCACAGTAATTTTTCCTGGATGCCTCTAAGCTAAGAAGCTGCCTTGCCTCAGTGTGTCACATCACTGCACTTGGACCAGCCTGAGGACTTTTGGAGGAGGGTTCTTACTGAGCTGATTTACTGGGTTATTAATGGACTTGGTTTACGTTAAGAAAATGTGACCTAGCGGTCAACATCCTGTTGCAGAAGGGGAACACAGCTGCTGCTTCTTGGTGTTTCTGGGTCACTGCCAAAATGAAAAGTTTTCAAGGGATATAATCCAAAGAAGCAGGATGTCTTGGGATGACTGCGCCTCCCAGTCCCCAAAGATATTTTGTACATTCTGGTGGATCTTAGCACATCGATTTTCAAAAATAAGTTAACCATTTCACTGCCCCATTCTTTTCCCAGATCAGCACATGCTACCAATTCATCAATCTGCAGAGCAAGATCAGTCTCGTCACCAGTGACAGGACCCGAGGGAATGGCCTGAAGCTGAGTCAGGGGAGGTTTAGGTTGGATATCAGGAAAAGGTTCTTCACTCAGAGGGTAGTTGAGCACTGGAACAGGCTCCCTAGGGAAGTGGTCACAGCATCAAACCTGACAGAGTTCAAGAAGCTTTTGGACAACATTCTGAGGCACATGGTGTGATTCTTGGGGTGTCCCGTGCAGGGCCAGGAGTTGGACTCGATGATCCTGATGGGTCTCCTCCAACTCAGCATATTCTGTGATTCTGTGATATTTAAAGGTGTCATGTGCATCATCACTGTTAAACCTGGGATAAAATTGCCTGTGAATCTCTTCTTAAGCCAATGCTTCAGGCTCTGCTTTCCCTGTGTGGAGTAGTTCTTGCCAGAATTCTTGTAGGCTTGTCAGCAGGGACTGATTTTGAATTCAGAGGAACCTCATCCTACTCCTTCCTGGACAAGTACTTTTCCAAGACGTGAAGAAAAGCATGTTGGAGCTCTTTCCTTGGGAAGTTACAGTTACTTATCCCTTCCCTGCACCTGAATGTATGAAGTGGGAGACATCATTGGATTTAGGTTTTCCTTGACTTGTGTGTCACAGGAGTGGGAGTGGCTGTTTCTGGATTTTGTGGTTTGGAATGAATGTCCATTGACAAAGGAAGCAGAGTTAACCTGAGAGGCAGAGGTGACAGCTTTGAGAGGGAAGGTGGAAGCCAAATTCATTAGAGCAGGATAAAGCAAACCCAAAGGTGATTCCTTTGAATGAGTAATTTTCATTGTCTTTGTGGTGTGGGTTGTGCAGGCTCCCTCTTCAGCCCTGATGTTCCTGAAGTCTAGTCCTGTTCCTGCAGTGACAGGAAGGCTACAATTTCCCCCTCTTTTCGTGGTTGTATCTTGTGTTAATTGTTGTTGGAGTCACCTTTGGTACTGGATCTAAAATTAACTGAATGGTATTAGAGAGGAACAACAATTCTCTCAGTCTTCCATGCAAGGATGTTTTGAAGGCCTCTACGACTTTGTCAGAGTACTTTATGTGGGATAAATATACATACACAACATATTTAACTGATGGATTAAAAAGAAATGTTCCAAGATCTCCAAAGTACACTTAATATATTTATTGCTGGTACTTGGGCTGGTAAAGGAAGCTCTGTGTATTGACTGTGTTTAGAAAGGAAAAGATACTGTAGATTGAAAGGCCCAAGGACTATTTGGGGTGTGTTCAGGATTCACAGGTGATTAATGGATCTGGGGCCTATACTTTATCATAATCATCTGCATAAATATTCTTATTATCCTAAAGATTAATATGATGTAGAGTGAAAAAGGTGGTGGTGATGCTTATCAGAGGATTCTCCACTCACATGCACTTGGGCATTGACTTCATGCTCCATAACTGAAGACTAATGACAAAGTTGTTTGTTAAAGGCACTAAATATTTGTTGTTGAATATATGCAAAAGCAGTGTTTCTTAAAAAAAAAAATCCCAAATCACTAACTGTTAATCTTATTGCATTTCGATCCAAAATTGTCCTATTTCCTCTTTTATTATAATTATCTATGTCTCTATTTCTCTCTTTCTCTCTCTCTCTCTCTCTCTCTCTCTCTCTCTCTCTCTCTCTATCTTATATTATTCAAATTCCTTATCCTGACTGGGACTCTGTAAGCCCAAGAACAAGAGATGTAGCTGCCTGCATTGTGAAGCTGGTAAACTGAAGCACAAAGGAATGAAAATCTTACCCACGATCATGCAGAAAAGGTTGTAACAGGATGAGGAACTGAACTGAGCTGAAGTTCAGGATCTTAACCATAATGCACATCTGCTGAAATACAACTTTGGGGTTAATTAAAATTCCAGAGATTTGTAGAGAGTTCAGCTGTAGGAGAACTCGAGTTATTGAAAGGCAAACAGCACTGAACAAAAGAGCACAGGTGTGGGGATGTGGGTGAAAAAAGAAGTGTGGGGACATCAGGAGCAGGATAGGCTCAGTCTACGTGAACAGTTGGAGAGTTGCTGTGGAAGGAAAGAGGTTGTGTAAAGGAGGAACAGCAAAAAACAGTGATGGATAAAGTGCCATTGAACTGTTGAAGGCAGAAGGTGATGGTGACCTTAACTTGGATGTTTGCCCTGGCAGGAAAGATGTTAAAGGCAGCTGAAATGGCTGTTCTCAGGAGCCTTTTTGGAGAGGAGATAGGCAGGGGTGGGGTAGATCAAAGGTAGATCTTGGCTTGGCTGGTTAATGCCTTGAGGCCAGGGGATTACCAGTCCTTGTGCCTTAACCCACAAATGAGAGTTTGATGGTCTGAGTGGGTGTCCCTGGGCATGGTGGAGGTGGAGAAATGCAGTAATTTCCCACTGCACTCTTGTTCTAGTTGTGGCTGTGCAGAAAGAAACTTAGAGAGGCTTACACACTGCAGCAAGGTCTGGTGAAGGAATAGCTGTCAAAAAAAGTTAGAAGAATTTCTAAATTCCATTATGAATTCACAAAACTAAAACAAATTTGCTTCAGAGAAAGGAAGCGCCAAAAGACGTGCCTTTACCATTGATCAAAATCTCAGAGTGACAAAATAAATGATCTGTGAGAATTGTATTTCAGTGACTTTAAAAACTGCTTTGTGAAATTGGCTGCTGTACTTGGACGTGAATTTGGACATATAAGGTTGCTACTAAATAACTGAAATTTAAACTTCATTTAGTTTTGGAAACTGGAAAATTTTAGAAACATTAGGAGAAATCTATACAAACAGATAAAGGAATGCAGAGGCTGACTTGAACTTGAGAAACCAGAATCAAAGGAAAAAACAGCAGGGCAAACACACTGCACAGGACCCAAGTAAAGATAAGGGAGTACAGAGTGAAGAGAAGGACAGTAAACTCAACCACATAACGAACTCCAAATGCTTCTTCCACAGCCAGAAGGATAATTATTCTTTCAATATAAAAAGGAATTCTCCCATAGAGAGCCAGGCTGGATATGGCAGTGCAAGTGTTTTGTACGTCTCATTCCCAGTGAACAGGACTGTGGCTGGCTGATACTGTCTTATCAAAAGGTCATTTATGCTCCCATGGGGTTTGACTGTAGCTTCCAGTGCACTCCAGACCCTGCAAGCCAGAGCAGAGAGGAGCAGCTGGCTGGTTTCCCCAAGGTCAGCCAGCTGAGGAGGGGAGAGGAGCTGCCTGCTGGCCGGGTTCCCAAGGCCGGCTGGATGGAGAGGAAAAGTGCAAGCAGGAAAACAAAGTTACAATCAGCTCCTCCAGTATAACCAATTATCTTAGAGTTTAAGCCTCCCCCCAGGCCTTGAAATAATTGTGATTTTGCCATACTTGATGGTGGCCAGATCATGACCTTGCTGTGTTCTGAGACGGATGAATAAGTGAATGTAAGAAGTCTCCTTGTTTATTGGGGTGAACTCTTTGTGTTGCAGGGATGGTAGTGGGGGCTGCTCCTCCTTTCTGTACAAACTCCAGGTGTTAGTCATTCTACTCCTCCCTCTAATGCACTCTTGAGTTGTGCAAAAAGAGAGAGGAAACTCTGGATACCACTTAATTTCTTCTGCAGAGCAGGGGAACAGCAGAGACCAAATAATTTGCTGCCCAGCTTCACTGTCAGAAGGCCTTCACTACTAGGGAGGTCTCCTTAAGCAGCTGCTGTGGTTGCCAAATAATCAGAAGCCCCAAGAGACAAGAAGATATGCTACAAATTATGGTGTGGGAGCTCAATGCCATCAGCAACTCCCTTTCCAAGAGCACAGTAAAGGAAAGCATTATTAAATTTCAAATTCAACAATATAAAATGTATCCTGCACGTGTGTATATCAGGCACAGTGATACCTAATGAAGGTGAAGGATTGCTACAGATATTATCTCTGCAAGACATTTTCCATTTGGAAAGAAATTCTTATCCTTCAGAATAAAATGGGCTTGTGTATTTTACCCTGAAATGAAAAACTAGCTGAAGGCTTATTCACCAAATCTCAGGTGAGTATACCCTCAGAAAACCCCTTATATTAGAAAATTATCAACTATTACATTTTCACTACAGTTATCATTCAACAGGATTTGCATGTTCTGACTTAGCACATTATCTATTGATTTTTGTAGGAGTGAGCCAAGGATTGGCCAAAATTAGGTGACATATTCTAAAGTTTGTGGTTTTGTTAATGCTAATGCAATGGAGTTTTGCATCATGTCAAAATGTGCTAATGACCACCTTTTCTGACATTTTAGTGAGGGTGCATCTTAAATAGGTGTATAGTAGGTTCAAGCAGATAGAGGACAAAATTTGTTCTACAGTCAAAGGTCAGTAACCAGGATGTTGGATTTGGTACATGTGAAACATCAGGATGCTGAATGGGTCCTAAATAATTATTTTAATGGGAACAAAAACTAAATCTGCTTTGTTGCTTTATTCCCCTGAAAAATTAAGGACTTGTTTTCATTGTAGGAATTAAAATTTAGCAAACAACTCTGATAATGGTAATAGTGAAAGGTATTTCATACAAATTAGTCTACAGGGAAATAAAGTGAACGATAAAAAATTTCCGTGGACTAACTTAAGAATAAAGCCCTTCAAACACCAAACAAGGCACACACTGATACCTTTCTCACTCCTGCTCTGCCTTTTTTTATCACCTCTCTCCCCAAGCCCCCCTTCACCCTCACCTACCTCCAAAACAAAACAACAGTGCTGGAAAAGCATCAAACAGGACTCAGTGGGAAACTGTACCAGATACACATCTAAAGGGCTCTGGAAAGAAATACAACTCTGTAGTGAGTGATAATGAGATGGACCTTTCAGCTAATTGTGTCTAATAATCTATTGTTGTAGTAGTAGGTTGGTATTGGAACTATTTTTAGTTTTGTAATTTTTCACATGCTTACTGTATTTAAGTTGCAACACCTTTTAGAATTCCTGTAATTTCAAAGTTGTGGGGAATCTATGTGGCAAGTAATTATTATAATATTATAGGTTGGTGGTTCCTGTCTGGTCTTAGCCAGTGGGTGGGCACATTGTAAAGGTGGTGTTAAGAGAGGTGTCTGGGTTGAGAAGCACAACAAAGAGCCTGAGGTTGAACACTGGGCCATCTTTTTATTCTCTGTAGGGTATTTTCACAGAAGTATATTGAGGCATTGATGTGGTAAAACTTCGACTGTTGTCCTTTTTGTTCTGTCGTAATGTTAAAAATAAGAATTTAGTCCCAGCTATGCCGAATTCCTGTTCTTTGGGAACCTGGAATAAATCATAGCTGGTCATACCTGCAGCTGCATACCTGTCTTTAATGTATGTCTTACAAATTAGTTTAACCTACTAAGGCTATAGCTTCTAAGTTGATTCTAAAGTACTTGTAATTTATTTGTAAAATAGTTGTAGTATCACAAAATTCTCGAAGTTGAAAGGGATATCTTAAGATTGTTTAGTCCACCCCCCTACTCCGAGCAGAATCAGCTAGAGCCAGATGCCCAGGGCCATGTCCTGTTGGGTTTCAAGAATGGAGACTTTGAAACCTTTTTCGGCAGCTTGTTCTGGTATTTGATCATCCTCACTGTAAAAAAGTGGGTTTGTGGGTTCAGATGGAATTCTGTGTCTTTTAATTGGCTTTCATCCTGTCAATGGGCACCATGGAGAAGAGCCTGGCTCCATCTTCTTCCTTCCCTCCCATCAGGTATTTAAAAATATTGATAAGTGGTCCACCCCTTGAGTCATCTCTGTTCCAGACTGAACAGACCCAGTTGTCTCAACCTTTGCTCACATGAGAGATGTTCCAATCTCTTACTCATCAACAGTGAATAGTTTTGAAGCATTACCCAATTCCTCAGTGTATTTGAGAGTTTTCAGCTGATAAATAGCCAATAGCAGTTTCCTTCTCTTTTAATGTGTTAAATGTGACCAAATTCAATGCTCTCAGTATAACAGTCCTTTCATTTACAGACTATGAATAAGAAAATTCAAGTGTGTACTCTAAGCAAAATTAGAATATCCCGCTTTTCTCTCCTCTCCCTTCCCTGCCTTTCCTTTTCTTTTGCGTCGTGTTCCTGTTAGACTGTGGTTTGTGAGTTCTGGCTTTGTATTTTTGAGACGGATTCTTTGCTGCAGACCAGTAATCAGCCCAACTTAGCCCTGTTGTCTCCACTTCCCATGTGCTCCTTGGGGAAACTCAGTTGAATGTTCTTCACACTTTTTCCTTGCTAGGGCAGTTTTTTCTCTAACCTTAGCTCTGTGTGGCTCTCCTCATCTTGCAGAGTGTACAGGAGTGTACAGACAAGTCTTGTCCCTCCCAGACACCCCCACCACATGTTTTATGCACAACTTTTTATGTGGTTTTTTTTAAAGAAAAATTAACCAGACTAACAAATACTGGAGACTGCTCTTGCTTTTCTGAAAAAGTGAAGAAGACATTTCTTTTCATAATGAGGAAAAATACTTCTAAAATTACCAACCTGTTAAGTTTGCATCAACAAATAGAAATTTACTTCAGTGGTTCCCTACTTGTCTCAGAAGGTGGCAATTTTCTGTATTAACTTCAGTCAAATACTGGAACTTGAGGTTCCAGAAGACAATCAGTGTATTGTTGTTAATAAAAGGATCCTCTTACCTAATAATTGTTTTGCTAAATGAAGGATAATTTTGTTTGTCCCTCATGGCTTTATCTGTTTAGGTCCTATCAGCATAGAAAATTAGCAAGTCTGGGGAGGGATCCTTAGAGCAAATAATATTTACTGTCTGAATTTATCCTAATTGTTTCACAGGAACTATTCTCCGACGGCATCGAATTCCACTTCCACCTCCTCATGAAGATCAGTTCTATACTATATTTCATTTCAATATCAACATAGAAGTAAACTTTTATTCCAGAATATTTAAGATTGTAGATTGTGACCTGTATACAAAAAATTTCCTGAAGAAGATGGGAGTGAGAGTAAATCCTCCCGGAACTCGTCCGCATGATCCATACATCACACAGCGACGACAGGTCAGATGAGCCAGTAGTAGTGAAAACTTGATATTATTAATATGCATTATATAAATTCTTTCTTTAAAAACATATAGGAAGTAGTTATTTCAAAATAATAAATTCCAAGACAAAACTTGCTTTTAAAAATTCTGGTATATGGTTCATTGTACTGTATAATTAAATATAACCAGTTTTCTCCTGATGTGTTCACACAACTTTTGAAACAGAACAAAATTAATAGGGAAAAATAAAATAAATCTTTCAGTATTGAACAGAAAAGAAGAAAAAAAGTGTACCTATTCCATGTTCTACTTACAGATTTGCTTGAGCTAATTTAATGATAATAAACACTTTTAAAATGTTTAAAGAAAGACATAATTGGAATTGTGGTTCAAGCACACCCATGGCTTCCTGCAGACTCCTTTGTTCTATTCATATGTCATCTTTCATCTCTACCCCACACGTTTTTAACAGCTCTTTGCATGTTTAGAGCAAATTCTTCTACCATACAGAACCCAAAGCCCTGCAGTTTTAAGACTTGTGAGGTTTTACTTGAAGGTAGTTCCCTCTTTTATAAGTACATGGGAACACATACACACACATACACACCTCCTCCAAAAATCGCACTCAGAGCTCCTACATACTATGTGGATTCCCCTTTGCAGGATTTGGGGTCCCTTTTTTTCCCTGTGAATAGTAGTGGGAGTGATGTTTTCTGCAGGTAATAGTGACAGTTTCTTTCAGTTCTGTTTTTCTTGATTAATATGAGTGCAGATGGCACTTGACCTGACTCTGTTAGGACAGTTGGCCCATGATATGCACCCTGTTGTGACAGATCCAGCCTGGCCCTCTGAAAACAGCAAATACTCCTGTGTCTGTTGCATTCAGCTTAATGCTCATATTGAGGAAACTGCTGCAGGTCTCAGCAGCAAAAATATAAGGTAACTATGGGGCTGAGATGTGTAGGACAATTTCCATGTCTCTGAGGCTCTCTCAGACCAACATGTTGGTTTATCTTCATTCATGCTGCCAGCCTTTTTGCAGCATTTGTAATACATCTCCTGGTTGTGGTGACTCAAACTGGCCATGGGTTACTTTTCTCTTGCTCAGGCATTGGGTAACAGCTGTGAATATTATTGTATTGTCAGACTGTGTCAACATTATATATGGTACTGCATAACCTGCTTAGATTTATTTTTTTTTAAGCAGCAAGCAAACCAGTCAAGTATTGTGCATATTTGTGCCTAAAAAGAATGGAGAGGGGAATAAGATTTGAGAAATATGAGCATCAGAAGACAAAAAGTTACTAAAATCTGTGTCTTCATGTTCTCAGTTGTTGAGGAATTACAGAAAAGTTATCTAGTGAATTCTGCTGCCTTATGCTCTCACTTTCCTGTACCTAATCTGTGGAAGGTAAATTTTTTTTGATTGCCCTGGACTGCTTTGAGTAAAGTTAAGTTGGTTTGCACCAAACACCTGGTAGGTGACCAGAAAACAAATGTATGAAGGAAAGTAAGGAATGTGATGGGGTAGAAAATGACACCAATGAAAAGTGTAGCAAACCACTTATATTCATATTGCACAGAATCACAGAATCATTTCGGTTGGAAAAGACCTCTAAGATCAGCTAGTCCAACCTTTGAACAATCACCACCTTGTCAACTAGACCAGAGCACTAAGTACCACCTCCAGTAGTTTCTTGAACATCTCCAGGGGTGGGGACTCCACCACCTCCCTGGGCAGCCCCTTCCAATGCCAGACAACCCTTTCTGTGAAGAAATTCCTTCCATATTTTTGGAGATGGTATCCCATAGATGATGATGTTATCTGGGTCTGTGGCTGTGTTTGGTTGCTCATTGCATCTTCAAGGTTCAGGAAGGAGCAAAAAGAACAATAAAAAGGTAAATAACTGAATTGTAGCATATGTGGCTGAATGGAAAGAGTGCTGCAGATCAGCAGGGATATCGAGAGGCAAAACTTGGTTCTGCTCTCCTTATTTTAAGATTTGATGCTCTGAAAGAATGGACTTTCTCCCTCTCAGATTTTTAAGGCCAGAAGATGTATTAGTGGATAAATAGAAATTTAGACAATGATATAAATTGCCACAGTCAACAGTTCTTTCTGTGATTCTGTGATTCATTCTATGATTCAATGGTTCAAGCAGTTCAGCTTACATTGTCCCATCAGTGTCTGTCACCATTCTTCTTTGGAAGCAATTTTGTAGAATTTTTTTAGATTAGAAGGGTTGTATTGCCCCTTTTAATGCCTTTTGGACAGGATGGATTTTGACTTAGGAAAAACACCATGTTCGGGTCACCATTTATATATGCGAACCAGCAGTATATAAATGCAGTCCTTGAGTTGGTTCATCATCCTGGGATCCAGTTTCATGCAGTGATGCTGGTTTTGCAGCAACCTTGACTGTAGGTAGCACCTTGTCATAGGTCACATCAGCTGGAATGTAACTTTTTTGGGGGACTTGCTGTTCCCTTTCAGACCAATGGATGCGTATTGAGAGGAGAACATACACACCCAGTACCTGCCAGCTGTAGAACACGAATCAAAAATTAAATAAACCATGTTTTAAAGTTAAAAGACAAAAAATACCAAAGGGAAAAGAAAGAATCAATTCTTTATACCACATTATCTATGAGAAATAATTTTTAAGGAAGTAAATCAGGAAGGGTGATGCTCTTTGGAGTTGTAGTCATCTGATTACCATGGGCAATTTGTTGAAAATCTGAGATGTACTATAAATAATTTGACAATTCTCTGATCTGAAGGACCTTATTGCAAGAAAAACAAGGATTAAAACCAATCCAGAACTGTTTTCATATATTTTCAGAGGGCACAGCGATCCTGTAAATACTTCTTTGGTAATGGCATAAACAATGTTTCATGTACTGTAATTGTGTGGTGTCATTTGAAAACCCTAAACCCCTGTTTTAAGGTTGGACAGTACCAGTGCTCCTGTTTTTAAGAGCAAATAATTAAAAATATGTTTCTCTTAATTTCTCCTTTCTCAGAGGATTCTGGAGAGTACGAATCCAGTGCGCCCTTACGAGCGCTTTGACACTTTGAAACAATTTCTGGAGTACGATGGACAAGTTTTAGGTTTTACCTGTGCCTGGAATGACCCAGAATGTCTGCATTATGGCCCACGAGAACTTGTTCTTCGTTATTATTTGGCTGATGATACAATTGATATAAGAGAAGTTTTACCAGTAAACTCAGGCCGGGATGTAGTTCCATATTTCCTCAAAAGAGATAAGCTTCCAAAGGTGAGGAATGAAAATTTCAACGTCATTCAAGTTCTTCCACTAGTTAAGAAATATTGAACGCCTTGTTTTGAAAATCCTGTACTAGAATTGCACTGATATATAGAAAGTGTTTGCAGAGTATTAATCTTAATTGCATGATTTAGGTTTTGCACATGTATTCATGTAGTAACTTTGTAAGTGATGGAAAAACGGCTCAAGGCTTGTCATGTTTAAACTAAGACAGAGATGACCCATGATTTTCTTTTTCCTATATTAGTGTATTAAGCTAAATCTATTAATAAAGCTCTGCAGTAATGCAAGTCCAGAAAAAATAATTAATATTGATAAGCTCATGTGAAACTAAGGGGAATTCAGTTTTGATCCATGAATTATATTTGCAACCTTTGGAAAAGTCAGTTTTAGTATTCCATAGCAATACTACTTTGTAGGAAATGTAGTGTGATTTCTTAAAATTGAATTTCTAGATTTAGGACCTTAAGCAAAGCTAGTTAAAATCAATAGGAATCCATCAATAAGCTTTGTGGGCATTAATCAGTTGCTTATATGAGAAAGACTCCTCTCAGAGAAATCTTCAAAGGGATTGAGTCTTCTGTAACCTGTTATGATTATAAAATTAATGAGCTGGACACGCTTCTGCGTCACTTCAGACAGATCCTGATGACAGAATAACATCAGCCAACAGATGGAGTAAAATACTGGGAGTCTTTTCCTCCTTTCCTTCTAGCACTGATAATCTATTTGTGATGCCAGAGATGTACATGAGATTTTACAGTAAAAACCTAACAGCAAAATATTACACTTTTCTCACCCTTGTGCATCCTGTGTTCTGAGATGCTGATTTGTCAGTGGCTCTATGTTATCAGACCCCTTCTACCATTGAAGTGCACGTTGCAATTTTAAGGGCTGGCTTCTTCCTCTGGAAACTTTGAGAAGGGCACCAGAGGAGATCAGTCAAAAGTTGGGGTGTCAGGGAAGGTGGTAAGACAAAATAACTCGTTTTGATTCCCCTGAACCAGCAGTTAATTCATAATTAAAAAATTGTAACATATTAAGTTTGATATTACTGGGATAAATTACTATTGTAATTTTGAAACTCACAACAGAAACAAATATACTAACAATTTTGCCAAAAGAATCAAGCTGACTTGAAGATCCTGTGTGTGTGCAGTGGTTCAGACCAACCCTGAATGGTTCTTTGCATGTTTTTATAATTATTACCAATCAAAAAAATAATCTTTAGAGCAGATGTTGACAATGATGTGGTGCTTCAGGTGTGTTGACCTTTGCTTTCTGTTTGCTTTCAAGAAAAAAAAAGAGACTTTACCCTTGGATGCACAGTAAGATTCTGGAATAGGTACTGGCTTTTGACATACACACTGGCTTTTAGGTTTGGTGGTGTAATCTTACCTTAGAATTTACTAAAAATTCTCCCAGGAAAATACTACAATAACAGTCAGTCTGTAACAAACCTGCTAATTCTAAGGTACCAGAGTTCTCTTTCTTCACTCTTAACTGTATTTCTGAAGAGCTGGTCCCTTCTCTTGCAGGATGGTCCCACTGAGATGTTACAGCCAGGCACAATCACCAATTACACTCTTCTCAATGTGTTGGGAAAGCCAGAAAGAAACAAAGGCTACTACTACATTCGTGACACTCTGCAGGTCAGATATTATTGAATGCCTCCAGCTGTTGAATATCTTCATAGTAGTTTTTGTAATTTCTGTGATTATTATCCTCTGCAACAAAGACAATTGTGCTGCCACTGGAGAGTAGCTCAAAATGAAAACTACTCAGGTTTACTGTATGTAAATCCCTCGTTTGTAAGAGTGAAGTAGCTTAACATGGGGTGAAATATACTTGCAAATGGACTTTGCAGGTTATGTGTTAAATCACACTCACTAAATGACCTGGGTTTTAAGGAAGGTTATGGGATTCTGGGATTTATGGAGCTGCTGTATGAATGTTCCCTCTTTTATTAGACAGGAGCGGTGCGTCAGGAATTTTACAAAGACTGTGACTTGAAAATAGGGGCAGTAATTAATGTTTGGGGAAGGAAGATGGTAATCTGTGATTGTGATGAGTTCACTAAAGAATATTACAGGAAAAAGTACGGAACTGGTAAGTAGTGATAATTATCCTTTCCTTATGAGCATTTTTATACTCCTGAGTTTGACAGAGCTGTCTTCAAATTTTATTACTGACAAAACATGCTCATTAAAACCTTTTGCAATAACAATCTGTTGTAGGCCATTTGCAGCAAAGCAGTAATTTTGCAGGTGATCCAGAAGAGTTTTCTTATATGTTACTCCATTGAAAACTAACACATAATGCACATGTTCTTTTCCTAACTGCCTCTGTCTTAAAAGGACAGCGACAAAATAGTCATATGGATAGACTGCCATTTCTTCTTCTCTCCTTCCCCCTCCCATTCTCATAGCTGTGTTTGCAGTCAGAAAATAATAAAGAGCATGTAGTGAGCGGGTAAGTAGAATGAGCTCAATTATTCCCTGTCTTACTATGTTTCATTTTATATGGATGTCAAAATCCTCACATAATAAGATTTTCTGACATGACAGTACTAGTCTATCACATTATTGGTTTTTACAATGCAGTTTTGTGTATTCTGGACCATTACAGTATGTATCCTGTGAAGTTTCAGCGTTAAATTCTGGAAACATTTAGCAACTATGTCCATAATGGAAAAGCATTTTAGAAATGAATAGCGGTTTTCATTTATCTGTCTTTGAATGTCCTCAGTCAGACTTGCTAATGGTTCCATCATGGACATCTTCCTGCAAAAATGACTTCGTTATTTTCTGGCAGTTTATTCATTCAATAAATGTAACTGTTCAGAGATGGTTGGAAGAATTCTATGGCCTTTCTCTGATATTGTGAAACAAAATATCTGAGCAGGCTATTTCTTTTACCTTAACTTGTGATCGGATAGAGTGCAAGTGTGTGGATCAGAGCCTGTCTGCTGTATTGGGAGAATTAAATGATATAGCACTGCTATTCAAATACTAAATTTTTTAATTGGCAAAACATGTCTCATTAGGATTTTTTTAATAATACCTTTGCATGTTTGTACCAAAATAAACCTGTTCTTGCACTAGCCAGTGTGCGAGGAAGCCGTGTTCAATAACCACAATATTATCTCTAAGAATCTATAATAATAGGAGTCTTAACTCCAGAGATGCAAAACAGGGGCTTCTTCCCTGAGAAGCAATATCCTCTATCTGAGCAAAATATCGTGGAACAGTGAGTGGGGATTTCTTACTCAGGGCAGGCAATAACTGAAATGCAGCTGACCATCCTGCACCAAATATGCAGTGCAACCAAGTGTTAAACAAATGCAAAGTCCCTTCCCCTCCTCTAATGCTGGCTCAGTAATTACTGGTGATGTCTCTGGATGTTAACCAGAAGTAGAATCAGGGAAGGTTTTAGCTTAGAAGCAGGTTTTGAGAGAGAATGAGTGAGTGTTCACCTTTCACTCTTGGTGAGTTACGCATTTTGTTTGTGTCTGGTGGACGTGCAAGGTGCTCTCAGTGGGCTCAGTCCCACAAAGTGCTCGACATTCCGCCCCGATCCAATTAAACCCTGAAACGTACTTAATTGCAGTTCGAGTCCAGGGAGACCATTTACTTGAGTAAGCAAGCGGATAAATTAGTTCTTACATCAAGGCACAGTACTCAGCACCTCATGGCATCAATCCAGATGTTTTGTTATTGTGTTTTCACATTACTCCCCTTCAATTCATACCCTTCTGCCAAAGCCATTAAAGAGACCAACGTTTATTTTTGAGTCTGCAGTTTCAGCATAAGTTGCTTGCCCATGGAATTTGCCCTTTAGGAGAATTAAGAGTAGTTTAGATTTTCTCTTGAAGGTCATGATTATGATATCCTATATATCTTCAGTGTGAACTTCTTACCTTAGTTGTGAAACAGACATTCAATAAAAACAGGTCTCAACTGTTTGTTATACATGTTATGTATAGAGCCCATCATGGTAACAATGCCATCCCTCCATGTTCCTGCCACCTCTTATATTGTCCAAGTCTGGTGGCATTTCTCTCATCTATTCTTGGCTGTAATGCTCAGAGGTGTCTGTCCTCTTCCTCTGAAAGTAGAATTTCTTGCCTGTTTTAATATATTTGTGAAAAGCAGAGTTTTTCCATGGATAAACATAGCTAATGCCCTTCAATAGCAAGTTAATGACATCACTGTAACTTAGAAGTGCTATGAATGCAAGAGAAAATGCATTAATGAGTGATATTACCTGTCCAGACTTGCTAGTGCAGCCTCAGAGGAGGAAAAAAATGTTCTATAGCCATGTAGGTGTTGTGGTCACCCTGCTGAAATGGGAAAGAGACTGATGTGCAGTGGGAGGAGGTTGATACTTGTCCTTCTCACTTCTTAGCACAGAGTTGAGTATAAAGTATTCCTTCTTAAATAACAGATTACTCCTGAAGGAACAAAACCAGTAAAATCTGGTTTCCTACTGATTTTTCTTCGCTGTGCCGGCACCTCCCAAGCCTTTGTGTTCTGCCTTTCCACGGCACCCTGCAATCCCTCTTCTGTCCCAGCTCTCCTCGCCCTCCCACCCCCTCATTTCTCAGGCTCCTCTCTGACCCGCTGCCTGGGCAGAGCAGTGTGTGGGGTGATGGGCTGGACAGTCCATGTGTGCTGTTGGCCAGGCAGCTGCTGCTGGATAACAGCTGACTCCTTGCTTTCCCCTCAGCGGGGGCATTCAAGCCTGCTGCCAGTTTTCACTAGGCTCGTCAGAGGTCAGTGTCTCTGCTGTCCAACCCCTCCACTACACGTGGTGGAGAGCAGCAGCTTCTAAATTTTCTTGTGCACCTTTGGATGCCTTTTATCCCTCAGGTAACTGTAATAGTCGTGAAGTAAGACTCTGTAAATGGAGATTTACTTTGAATCAGGATAAACACTGTCATGTTTCAGCTGCCTGGAGTTCTGTGAGCAGTAAATTTTCTTTAATCCTGCACATAAAAGTTGTGAAGATGGTTTTATTGCCTTCTTATTTTACTTCTTACCTCAGTTGTGAAACAGACTTTCAATAAAAACAGGTTTCAACTGTTTATTATACATGTCCTCATATGTAGAGAGAGCAGCATGGTAGCAATGCCATCAATCCATGTTATCACCACCTCTTATATTGTCCAAGTCTAGTGGGATTTCTCTCTCCTCTTCTTGGCTCAGAGGTGTCTACTGTTCCTCTGAAAGGAGAATTTCTTGCCTGCTTGCTATATACTGATATTCAATATGGCTATCACTCTAATCCAAAGTATGTAGCACTTGACTCTTCCTTGAAATATGGTCTTATCTAGCACATGAGGGTTTTCCTACAGTTCTTTGATGAGGGCAGAAGGTAATCTTGCAATGTATACCAAAATCTTACAGTGTATATTGAAACTGAAAGCTGACAAGCTCATTTGAGCTGGTTTAATGCTGCCTCTCCAGCAACAAATTCTTCTTGAGGAGTTTAGTTTTTCTTACTAAGAAGGCTTTGCTATCTGCAAATTGCTTATATGCTAAAGATGTGGCTGAAGTTGTTTTGTTTTTTGCAGCTCCCAGTGCTTGTTCAAATCTCACTCGGGTTTTGATGTCGTGAGAAAGCTACAAGTATGCAGTACATGTTTGATATATGAGGTGAAATAAACCCCTACTTACTGCAGTAACAAAGAGTGAAACTGTCCATGGGAAAAATACCTGTGCTGTTCTTTCTGGAAGTAGAAATTTGTAATTCTGGACTTTCAATTTACTCTCTCTCTACCCGCTGTAAATTCACACTGAAAATGTTGCAAGCTGGAAGAAGAGCATTGATTCCTTTTCCAGACTGGACAGAGGTAATTTTCTTAAGCTGTAGTGATCACCTTTGAGAGGAGTGCATTTTATGTGTAAGTACCTGTCTCATTCTGCTCTAATCCTGTGTGGCAGAGCAAAGATAAAATGAGTTTTGAGCTCAGGTAGCTGGCTGTTCACAAGTTGCAGAAATGGGGTTTTGTCTGGTTTTGTGAACTGTATTTCTCCCTGGCACTTTTTTTCTGAATTTGCTCACTCACAGGAGAGAATCTGAATACATAATCCTCTAAAATCCTGGAAAATATAGGTGGCACAAGGCTGGATGTTTGCACTGTTCTCCTTAGTGAATCTAGAAAGGTGGGGATTGGTCTCTTCTCCCAGGTAACAAGCAACAGGGCAAGATGAAACGACCTCAAGTTGCACCAGGGGAGTTTACACTGGACATTAGGAAAAACTTCTTGACTGAAAGGTTTGTCAAGCACTGGAACAGGCTGCCCAGGGGAGTGATGGAGTCACCATCTCTGAAGTGTTCAATAAACACGTGGCACTTAGGGACATGGTTTTGTGATGGACCTTAACAGTTGGACTAGATGATCTCAGAGGTCTATTCCAAAGTAATGATTCTATGAATGAAGCCAAGTCATTTTACTTCATGTAAAGGGATGGGATGGGAACCAAAGGGCTGAACTTCTCTTTGGACTTCATGTCCTGCACGCTTTCATTGCGAGGGATTTAACATAGCCTTCGGGGGGCAACACACTATTCCTCCTAATTTGTAGTTTCCTTCTAGTTTATAAATCTAATTTTCATCCACATGTGCTAAAGTACATAAATAGGGTAATGCTTTAGCGTTCCTTAATGAATGCCTTATGCCTGTGTGGATGTGCAGACACTGACACGGGCACGGAAACACGGGAGCTTCTTGTCCTCTGCGTCCGGGGTGCACCGAGCACTTCTGGGAGGACCTGCGGCAACCGAGCGAAGAGAAGGGGCTCGTGTCTGGTAAAATACGCTGTTACATGTTGCGTAATTAAAAAATTAACGCTCGCGTTGATCAGCGGCACCAAGGCCCTGGTCACGCCGCCGTCCTGCCGCGCTGCCACTGGATGGCGCTGCGGGAGCGCGGGAGCCGCCGCCGGCCGCCCTTCCCGGTGCCGCTTTTCCCGGCGATGGAAGGGGAATCCTGCGGGGAATCCCGCGTGGTACGCGTGTTCAGTACCTATGGACATCGGGGTTTGCTTTCTTCCTGCATGTATGCCGATTTAGAGGCTGCTTGTTTGTGGTATCAAGAATTGCCTGTAATCTGTGACGTGCTGTGGCGCTGTGAAAAGGTGGTGTTTTGGTGACAAGCAGTATGTAAGAAATAGGGAGTCTCACAAAGTTTAATAGGAATCTCATGGGATTAATAAGATTTAATAAGATCAAGTGCAAGGTGCTGCACCTGTGTTGGAGCAACCCCCAGTATCAACCCAGGCTGTGGGATGAGCAGGTGGAGAGAAGGCGAGAAGGACTTGGGGATGCTGGTGGATGAGAGGCTGGACATGACCCAGCCATGTGCACTTGCAGCTCAAAATTCAGCCATGTCCTGGCCTGCATCAAAAGCCCATGCCAGCAGGTCAAGGAGAGTGAGTCTGCCCCTCTGCTCTGCTCAGGTGGACCCCACCTGGAATGCTGCATCCAGCTCTGGGGTCCCAGCATAGGAAAGACATCATCCTGTTGGAGCGAGTCCAGAAGAGGCCACCAATATGATCAGAGGAATGGAGCACCTCTCCTGTGAGGAAAGGCTGAGAAAATTGGGTTTGTTCAGCCTGGAAAAGAGAAGTCTTCAGGATGAACTAATTGAGGCCTTTCGGTACCTGAAAGGAGCCTACAAGAAAGACGGAGAGAGACCATTTCCAATGGCATGTAATGACAGGACAAGGGGTAATGACTTCAAACTGAAAGAGAATAGATTTAGGTTAGTTATTAGGAGGAAGTTCTTTGCTATGCAGGGGGTGAGGCACTGGAGCAGGTTGCCCAAAGAAGGTGTGGATGCCCCATCCCTGGAAGTGTTTAAGGCCACACTGAATGGGGCTCTAAGCAACCTGATCTAGTGGAAGGTGGCCCTGAACTAAATGATCTTTAAGGTTCCTTCCAACCCAAACCATTCTGTGATTCTATGATTCTATGATTTTGGTGCATGTCTACACCTTTCATGGTGAAGATGACTTTAAACATTTCTGAATGGACTTTTTTTTGCACATGGGCTTGTGTTTTTATGGAGAAAAATCCTGGTGTGATTCTGCAGAACCCCTTTTTGACTGATTTAGGTGAAAGTATCAGCTTTTTGAGTCAGACCATGTTCTTCTAAGAGGCAAAGGCCAATGGAGATCTTGTATTTTCAAGTTAAAGAAAAACTCTGACATCTGAACACTTGCTTTATTTTTCAACTCACACTGCTGCAAGTCAGATCTTAAGTGTTGTGCTTTGATCTTCTAATATAACCATGTTTAAAACATTTTAATCACAAACCAGTGTTCCAAGTGACAGTGATTTTGTCATCCTCCTCTATTTGCACTAAAACCCATGTTACAAGTTTAAGTTATTCATCTCTCCTCTGTTCTGGATAGAAAAGTTAAGTTTTAAAGAAGAAAAGCCTTTATTTCGTGGGATCTGCTTTTATGCACTGGTCACTTAAATCACTCTTTGCCTCCTGGGCTGTGGTTTATGATCTATCTTCTTCCAGTTTGGCTCATGTGTTTGTCTTTCACTTACAAGCCCAGCCAGCTCTCCCTCTCCAGCCCACCCTGGTGTGAGGTGATGCTGTTCCACATGGGCAGTTCCGTGCCAGTTGGCTCTGACCCTCTTATTTATTGCACCTGTGCTGGTGCAGAAAGGGCTCTACGGGTTGTGGGGGGCAGCAGGCTGGGCTTGAGGCCACAGCAGAGAGGGCCAGCTGGAACCTGGGCTGCCCAGAGATCGAGGAAAGTGCTTATTCCTGTCTGCTCCGTGCTCATGAGACCTAATCAAGGTACTGTGTCCCATTTTGGGTCTGCCATGCCAGGAAAGACAGAGACCAGCCAGGGTGAGTTCAGGGCAGGCCCCAGGACAGTCAGGGCTGAGGAACACTTGGGGAGCAGGGTTTTCTCAGCCCAGGAAGGGCCCTGAGTGGCCATTTGTGCCTGCCCATGTGGAGGTGCTGAGAACAGGCAGCCTGGCCCTTCTCAGGGGTACATGGCAGGAGGCACCAGACAACAGGAGTAAGTGGAAACAAGAGTGTCAGAGCTGGATATCAGGAAAAACTTTATTCACTGGGGCAGGCTGTGCAGGCTCTGCCCTGGGAGGTTTTGAGCCCCAGCCGGGCACAACCCTGGGTAGCCTGGTCTGACCTGGGGCTGACCCTGTGCTGACCACACTAGAGACCTCCCAATATGAATGACCCTGTGTTCCCATGGCTGAGGTCTTCATTTTCCTCAGGTCTGCCCATTTACTTTTTCCCATATACAAGTTACTTTTTTTCCATTTTTCATTAACCTCATTTAAGCAGCAGACTGTGTTGCTGTTCAGTTTTATGTGAACCCCACTGGAAGCTGGGAGCTGTCCTGCCATGGAGGGGCAGTGCCGGGGTGCAACAAGGGGCCAAATGGTACAGTGAGATTTTCACCAACAGAGGAATAAGGAGGGTCAGGAAAGCAGTGCTTTTAGGAGCAACTTCTGTGGGAATTGAGTGCAGGTCCCTGACCAGACATGCCTCTGCTGAGTCAGGAGAGCTCCTGCTGTGTATCTGGGATTGTCATTGATCACTGCAGGGAAAGATTTGAGTCTGGGAAAATGAGGAAAAACAAAGCTTCCAAAACTCTGGATATAATGAGATGTGGACTGAAGTCATTTGCTTCAATGTACCAAAGACTTCTTATATATGTATGCTTTAAATAATGAATAAAATTTCATTTATTCATGTATTTATTTTCCTCTGGCTGAAAGCACAGGGCAGGAAACTCATAAGCCAATTATTTACTTAATCATGTTGTCTCAAAGGATAAAACTGAAAAGTTAATTTAGAATTTTTAATTTACTATTTTATCCCATTTTGAAACTATATTTGTCTTTCTTTTTGCCTGTGTATCTTAATGATATTTTTCAAACATTTTAAGATTATAGATGAAATCCTGAAACACTTGAAGAAACAATAATTTTGCTGTCAGCTCGATGGAGTCTTTTTCTGCCCTGTAACAGTAGGAGGGATCCTGGTTTGACTTTGATCAGTGCTCTGTTACACAAATAGGCTAATAAGTATTTACATTGGAAGTTTAAATGCTTAGTAGAATGGCTTCATCACATCAGTAATAAATAAGTCTTGCTGTCTTTGTTGTAGTGGATTTCACCCCAGTTCAGTTTAAGGCTCCACCACCTCCAGAACCAGAAAAACCTGTTCCCCCTTATAATGGATTCGGTTCCGAAGAGGATTCTCTGAACTCCTGTAGGAAGCTGCTTCCCCAGGCTCCCCAAAAAGATTACAGGCAATTCCTGGTGAAAGACAGGTATTTTGTGTGAAAAATAATTTCAACTTTTTTAATTGTATATTTTTGTGAAGGAGACAAATGTTATGTAGGGATGTAATTTTTTTTCAGCAAAATATGCAACTCATCAGGCCTTTATGGGACAGGTGCATGAGGACTGGGTTAGTGGTGTGGTACTTCAATTTTCTGCAAACTCTGCAAAATTTCTCTTTTGAGAAGGCAAATATTCTGACCTTCTCATCCCCTACCTTCTTTCCTCTGCTGTCTTCAGTGGGAGTTTGATGTAAGTCTTAGTCCAGGTATTAGTCAGGAATTTTCTGTGATCCAGCAGTCCAACACAGATTTGCTGTTGTGTTTGATTTTCTGAGACTTACTTTTTTTGGCTGCTGAATTTAGCACTTTAATGCTGTAACCCTTTACTTTTCATTATGAAATGGTTTGTCAGGCAACAGTTGTTGAAACCTAACAAAAAGAGCAAAGTCTTGTGCTAGAGATTCACCTGTAGAACCCCTGTAAAAGAGGAAAGCTGTTAGAAAAAGGCTTGGGAATATATTCATACAGGCACTGCAAATTATTTAAAACCCAGTCACTTAACAAATATCCAACTGGTAAGATCATCTGGTGGACCTGAATTTGTGGAGATAATCCTTGTACGATGTGCTATTCAGAATTTGATTTGAAAATATACATACCTAAATGTGTTCTTCTTTTCTAATTTTTCTGGAAAGAAACTTGGAGCTTGATTTGCAACTGAACTTGAATACAAATTCATTCCAGACTTGTGGCAGAGAAATAGTTTTCCCCTGAAAATTATTCCTTTCTATCTGGCTGACTCCAGCTGGTTCTGTTAATTTAAGCTGAAAATGGTTTTTGACGAAGTAGTGAATCTTGTGCCATTTCCCTTCTAGGTCCAGGAATAACACAATTAATGTATGTTACAAAACTCGGGAGAAGGCATCTCTTAGGGGTGAAAACTTTTCTTATGCTCTGTTTTTGGCTTCTTACCTCCTCCTTTGCCTGTTTCAGATACGGCATGGAAAGTAACACGCTGCGCTTCGGTGCCAAATTCATCACAGAAAGTCCTATTGACAAGGATCGGAAATTCATTATTTCCTACTTCCTGAGTGATGACACCATCTCAGTTTTTGAATATACAGAGCGAAACACAGGTAAGATGTAGTAGTGCCTCCAATCAGTCCCAGCTTCCCTGCTCATTTGGTTAGAGTTTCCAGTAAACATTATGGCCAGATTCAGCACTAGCAGAAGCAGGGATGTGGATTTTTAAATGCAATGGGAATTACATCAGCAGGTCTACTGCATTACCTTGCATAGCTGTATGTCATAGTAATTCATGTTCTTCCTCACTCAGAATTACACTGTTCATTGCATGACAGTACTTCACAATATCCCTCGGGAACTGCAAGTTTAATGCATTAGAACTTTTATTACTTTTTAATTTGAAAATCTGGCCTTTAAACACTTGCTTTTGTTGTGGATAACATACAGGAATTGTATTGTAACGGATGATAAATAGGGACAGGAAATATAAGACATCAAGAATGAAAGACTAAATCCTTTGTTTTGCAAAATCATGTTATGAAACCTCTACAGCATCCATTGTATAGAAGCAGCTCACGAAAGCCAAACAGCTGTGATACTTTTAACATACTTTATCATTAATCATGGAGTGTTGAGCATGTAAAGAGTGAAGATTACCCTGTGCTAGAGTCTGTATGTGTGTGTGTGTATAATACTGAACTGAATCCCAGGAGCCAGACTGCCAGTGTTTAAGTGACAAATGCTTTGTTACTTCTCAGTTGCTTGATCCTGTTGCTGGAGCATGGTTGCCAAATGTTGTCATGGTTAAATTCTTTAGACCACTGTGGTTGGCTGCCTCCAACTGAGAATATGAAAGGTTTTGTGATTTTCAAGCATCTTTTTATTTCCTTGAAGTATCTTGTGCACGAATGGAAGGACACAGCACATGGGAAGGATGTCAGGAAGTCATTCTGTAACTCAGAGAGAGAGGGAAGCTTTGGCTAAGCATGACCCTGTTGGAGAGATTGGTGTGTTCCTGAGGAGCCCACAAAACTTGTGCAGCCACAGTTTCAGAGCAGTTAACATCCAGAAGGGCTCTGGCACTTCTCAACATGTGGCATCAAAGGAGTGACTGTTAAAAGTTACTGTTGTCTTGTGATAAACCCATAGAGAGAAAAAAAAATCAGCAAATCGCATTCTTTCAAAGACAAGGGAAAAAGAGTGATAGAAGGTTTCCTCAGTTACCATGTTAGGCTCTTGTGGAACTGCCTGAATTGATTGCCCTATATCAGCTTCTTGGCACGGAGCACCTGTGTGGTACTTCAGGCACTGCTGCAACGGTGACCACGTCACTGTGCTCAGTACTGCCCTGTTCTCACTGTCACAGCAAGGACTGGCCCAGGGAGGACTGTCCCCTCCCCTTTGCTTCAGGCTCTGGTGCCAGCAGTTGGCTTTCTGAGGTCCCCTTATCCCGCTTGCAGTTAAGGACTGAGTATTCCTGTGACCCTATGCTTCAGCCTTTGCTGAAAATGACTTCTGATGTTAATACTTTTCAGAGCTATGAACATCACATCCGTAAAAAATGAAGGTGTGATGAATATCTAGAGCCTTCTGTATTCCTAGAGAACACTTCCTGTGCCAGTGGCCCTACTAAGTAGTTTTGAGTACCCTCATGAGAGTGGGATTTTTGAGACTGTCTCGGTCTTTTCAATCCAAAAAACCTCTGATTGCATCTCTGCTTGTATCCAGCTATATTATGAATGCATGTATAGGAACATCACCCCTAACTAAATTACAATCAGTTCTCTGAGAAGTGTTTTGAAAATGTGTAGAGTACCTGCATAGGGCTTCATTGAGCATTCCCAGTTTGTCCTGCTTCACTGCAACATCAAGATTTAGCATTCCTTATGGCAGCAGTGTCCTGTCATCATTATTTTACTTGTTTCCTGCCATCCAGTGGCCTCTAATTTATGCAACTACTTTTGTTGCAGCTAAATACACGTACAGTTATTTATAAATTGTGCAATGCTGCATTGAAGAGACAGGATAAGGAGTAGGGATGGGGTAGAGAAGGTACAGCAGCAGTTGGAAAGAGGCCTGGGACCACAGAAGTTTCTTTGTTCCCACCTTTCTTCTTTTCTTTCTTCTTCCTTTCTCTTCTCTCACTATCCCTCCCTCATTTTAGTCATGTCTGAAGGAAAAGTGAATGAGTTTCTTCAATGTTAAGAATGACAAGGGTTTGCAGAAGTCAGATAAGAGTGGCTAAGGAAAAGGAGTAAGGCATGGAAAATAACCTGACCATCCCTTCTGTGCACAGGTTCAGAGGTTTTGCCTTTTTATTTGCATGAACTGGTACAAATTGGCAAGTAATGTTTCAGATCTCAATCCTAAGATGGAAGTAATAAGTTGCTCTTAGTTATCTAAGTTTAGCAACCTGAAGGTTGCAGAGAAGTACTTCACACTATTAGTAACACTGTGAAACTCTATGAAATCCACAGGGCTGGACATCTTGAAGCACTTCTTGAGATGGGGGTCAAAGCATGAGAACTTTGGCTCCCCATGCAGAAGATCACATCCCCTTTTTTTACTCAATGTAAGACCCAGCCAACAGCTGTACAAACACCTGCAAACTCTGATCTGATCTTAATGGAAGTGGGTCTTTCGTTGTGGTGTTTATTTTGTGCTTTGAGCCTGGCTCTTGTAGATTTCCATCAGAACTCCTTATCAGGTTTCAGTGCAAAATCTCTAACTTAATGAGATATTTTCAGTCATTTTTCTTTATACCACTTGTAGTGTACTAACCTATAACATTTAGAAAACATTATGGGACAGAAGTATTAAGATAAGTTTCCAATTAGAGTGCACAATTGCAAGGAAATAGAAAGGTGAGAATGAAGTTCCAATCTTACAGAGAAATATTAAATATTGAAAACAATTGCCAGGATTATATAACCTAAAATTTTGTATTTGTTTTAATAGCTGGGTGAAAAGGAATGTGTTAAGATTAGAGTCACTTTAGTGATTAGAATTGTTTTTTGATTCAAGCTAGATCTGACCACTACCATAAGTGTATTTTTTTCCTCTTTTGCTTTTGTGGTGCTAATAATGCAATTAAGACAGACATTTGCTCCAAACTCTGGTTTGAAAAGTAGTTTGGGCTTCACATTCATTTGTGCCTATAAAAGGCACTTTATTACACTGTTCATCAGCATTTTATTGGACTTGCATCACTACTTGATATTAAGGTGTCATTAAATGTTACTGAAGTGTGCTTTTGGCTGTTGGCTTGGAAGCTCAAATATCAACAGGAAACAAACCTCAGAGTTGTTGTAGGGCACATATCCCAGTGAAACCAAACATGGCAGAATGTTTTCTAGAAACCTTGGTACATGCAGAACAATCTTGTGGTGCACCAGAAGATAATACTGGAAAGTGAAATGTTGCTTTTAGTATCTTACCTACCCTTGAATGCCATGTGCAGTTTCTAGGGACGCAAATAAAATCATTATAGTGTTTAAAGAAATCATGTGACATACCCACCTCACAAAGGAAAGAACAGATCACAATTAAATTGCATTGGCAGAACAGTGTGTGGAAGACAAAGACATGTCACTCCTATGTTTTTAAAAAATTCAAAAGCCCTTAAAAAAAAGTTAAAATCCCTAGTCTTGGGACAGTGCTCTCTGAAGTTGTGTTTTTTTTTTTTTCCTTTTCTTGGTTTTAACAGTTTAGGGATAATTGCCTGCATCTCACTTTTTGCATCTTGTGTTTCTCAGGGGTCAGTTCCAAGGCTGTCAACAGGGTTATGGGAAAGATTTGGAGAGGCACATTTCTGTCCCATTTTAAAGAAAACAAAAACGGGGAAGGTGTTTGGCAGGCATTCAAATGAGACATGTCACAGAATATGCACAATGTAACTGTTGCTGTGGACACTGGCAGAGACAGTCCTTTTAGCAGGGAGAGGGAGGGGAAGAGAGAGTGTTATGAGACAAGAAACTGAAGCGCAAAAATTGGTGTTTAAATACAAATCATCTGGTTTGGGGTGTCTTTTGGTTGGTGCTTTGGTGCTTTTCTTGTGTGTTTTTTGTTTGTTTGTTTGTTTTTTGTAAGTAAAGGCACAATTAATTATTTTAAATTCTCTTCCCACAGGGATACCTGGTGGGAGGTTCTTGGACAGAGGTCGCATTAAGAAGCCTGGGCAGGAACTCTTTAAGAGTGAGCTATCTGAATACTACAAGGCTCATGATCTGTTTGTTGGAGCCAGAGTTTGTTTCCATGGCCACAACTTTCTTTTGGTGGATGCTGATGAGTACACGTTCAGCTACATGGAGAAGAATGCAAATGAGGTGAAGCAGGCTCTTGTTGCTTTCTATTATCTTTAAGGACTGTGGTTTAGCTATACATTTTTCTGAATTAGTTGTACCCAGTTTCCTCACCCAAACTTCACAGCCCAGTGCTCTCTGCCTAGCAATGGTTTTAGGAGATGCCAGCCAAGGAGTGCATGCAAGTCTGGCCACTCTTTACTGTCCATTCCCCTCTCCTTTCTCAGAATCCACTCATGCTCTATTAGGGGTTGTTAGGAGGTATATCCCTGCCTATTCCTTCTTGAGACTGTTCATGGACCTCTTGTCCCCTGAGTTGATGTAACCCTGGTTGAACCTACAGATACTGTGGAGCTTCCACAACTTGCTGTGGCAGCAAGTTGAAAAGTTCACTGCCTGCTATGAAAAACAAATATCTGATAAAAGAAGTACTTTTTATCTGTTTTAAAGCAACCTCCCACTAGTTTCAATGCCAGTTCTGGAGAGTGGTGAAGAACCCTGTTCACCTTATGCACCACCTTCATAATTTTGTAAATCTAGGACATTTTTCCACCTCAGCCTAATTGTGTCCAGTTGAAGACTCTTGCCCTTTATAGTCTATACTTGCAAAGTGACTGTGAGATGTGGAGGCTGGAGCAGTACACAGTACTCAAGATGTGAGCACATCCAATTTAGTCTTACTGATGAGGCTGTTTTATTTCTTGATTTGATTTTTTGGGTTCATACTTATTTTTCTGCCAAAACATTTCCCTTGTGATATTAGAAACTCATATCACAGTCAGGAATTCAGACTTACAGTGTGTACTGAGTTTGGTGTTGCCTTCAGAGGGGAGAGCAACAATAAATTGAGAGCTGGGGTGCTTCTGCTGATGTATACTTTATCAGAATACTGCAATTTCTTTGTAAATTAATGGGGATTAGCACCACCTGCCTTCCCTGGAATAATGAGGAATATCTGCAAAATGCTTATGAATGTAAAATACTAAGGCTGCTAAATGCTTTAAGCAGTAAAATAGAAAGCTCTCTACATTATGTGTCCTTACTGCTGGACAGTTTCTTCTCCTGGTAGAATCAAACCCAAAGATATCCTCCAAAACACAGCACATCATTAGATTAGTAAATGTTCCTTGGAACTGTTGTTTGTATTGATTATCTTGGATCCAAAGATAAGGTCTTAGTTTTCCAGACTGAATGATTGGACATTAACAAAATAAAACCTGAAAAATAGGAAGAGGCAGCATTGGAAATGCTTCATTAAAGTGAATTTTGAAACATTCTTTTCACGATTAAGATTTTAAAGCAGCTGATTGAAAAAAAAGGTTGATTCTCCCAATGACAGCTTCTTCATTCACATCCTTTGACTAGAGCTCCAGAAGTAAGGACACACCTTGTTTGCCTCAGTTCCTCAGGGGATCACATGCTCAAATCATAACGACTTCAGCAGTTATAAGAGAAGAACAGAGCTGGAAGATAGTTTAAAGAAGGGGAAAAAATTTAAAGATCACTATTTTTCAGTTGTTTCTAAAATTTGAAAATAAATAATTTTCCTTCTGAATAGACAGAGGTTTTCTTTCAGCAGGACACATCAGTATGATTTCTGAAACTGGTGAAAGAAATCCATATGGAGTGTTTTTCTTCTAGAAATTTCCATTTTGACCACGGTTCCATAGGCATGTGGTGATTTAGATGAAATTTTGATTGGTAATCATAGTGCAGGTGGATATTGAAAATTTGTCTGACACCATATTCTGAAACTTTCAATTTCCTGTTTCAAAATTGTACTTGTTGTATTGTTTTTAAATTATAAGTAGAGAAAAATCACCAAGTCGTATCATTTTGACTACTGCCTGTACTGAAAGTAACTTTAAAGGTCTAACTCAGAACTTTTCAGCACTTCTTTTCTGATTTGAGGGAAAAAATATTTATTTAGAAAGTGCTGATTTGCTTGCAAAACAGACCATGTTGTTGTGTGTTGTACACAGTCCAACTGGTGTCATCCAGGTTTTTGAAGGACTGTTTCAATTAAGGAATCACTGTGCCTCCTTGGCAGGGAATTCAACATCTCTGAAACTGTCTCAAGTGTTCTAACTTTGCTGCCTACTGCAGCACAAACATGGAAGTGGATTTTACTTCCATTGAATCCAGCATGATGACCTATGACTTGGGCAAGACAAACAAAACTAGAGTGTGACTACATGCTGACATGTCAGCAATTACATGAGAAGAGGGAAAGTGGGTAAGGTTGTTGCCATGCTACTCAGATACTCAGTATCTGTGTAGGTGTTTGGAATATGTGGTTTAGAAGAAAAGATGTAAACCCAGCGGTTTTTATAATGTAGAGAAGACAGAATGGTTTAAATACTCTGCTCACTGAGTCCTTCTGCTCAGTCTTTTCTCAGTGCCTGTTCCTTGCTTTGGTTGGGAGGGGACTGGGAATGTTGCTGTCTCTAAAACTCTTTGATTGCTGGTCCAGCTGTTCCACACCACTGCCTTGCACGGCCTTGCCTGCCAGGGGTGCACCTTGAGTTTTGGCATAGGCAGAAATTGTCTTCTCTAAATCTGAGAAAAACCTGCAACCACTGATGTATTGATTAAACTTGGATCAATCTGTACTGCTCTGACAGTGTCATAGGGACTTTAAATACTCTTTTCTAGATTGCTTTGGACTGACACAAAGCTGTAGACACACTTCAGCATAATTGGGAGCGAGGCACAATTCCTGTGTCCTGGCCCTTAGTGTGACTCATACCAAATTTCAAATAATTGCTAGTTAAAACAACATTGCTTTCTGAAATAAATGGGAGAAAACTATTTTCAGACAATTCATTCTGCCTTTAAGGTAAGTAGAGCATGACAGATATAAGGACATCTCAGATAATCATACTTGAACTCAACCCCAATTTAATGACTAAATACTTACATGTTTTATGTTAAAAATGAGTTTAACAAATAAACCCTTGTTAGAGCACTAATGCAACAACATGACTATAGGTTGAAAGCCATAGTGCTCCAGTTCTGTTTAATCTGAGTTCAAATTTATTTTAATGGCCTATTTAGGGAGAAATAAGCAATTAAGCATTCTTATACACAACAGGAAAAATTGGTTCCTAACAAATTTCCAATCTGCTAATTATGAGTATTTAAGACAATGTGGTCCTATATGAATGAGACTAGCTGTTGGAACATTTCATTGGAGCCAATGGTGAAAAGATTAATTAATCTTTTAATAATGAGATTTATTATTTGAGAATCCAGTGAGGTGCACCAACATAAAATGAGGACCAGGTTATTAGAACTGTACTTTAAATGTTTTGACTTCTGCTTTAACAATGCAATGTTTGAAGCAAAAGTGGATGTCCTTTTATGTAGCTGGGATGAACTTTCTGAGAGTGCATGATCTGATGATTTTTGTTTGATTGTTTACATTCTTGGTAGAAAGCAATTTTTTTTTCAGTAGGAAGCTTCCCTCCAAACTTAACTCAGTGCTGATTTATGTATTTGAAGTGAGAAAAGGAAGAAACTAATAATACTCAGCAGTTCAGTATTGCCCTACATCTTGACAACATGCCTGGTTGGTTGCAGAATGCTTGTCATAGAATGGCTTGGGTTGGAAGGGACCTTAAAGATCATCTCATTCCAACACCCTTGCCATGGGTGGGGGCACCTTCCACCAGACCAGGTTGCTCAGAGCCCCGTCCAACCTGGCCTGAAACACTTCTAGGGATGGGGCAGCCATAACCTCTCTGGGCAACCTGTGCCAGGGCCTCACTGCCCTCACAGTAAAGAATTTTTTCCTTATATCTAATCTAAATCTGTTCTCTTTCAGTTTGAAGCCATTCCCCCTTGTCCTGTCACTACATGCTCTTTTAAAACGTCCCTCTCCATCTTTTTTCTAGGCTCCATCTTTCTTTTTGTCCCCAGCACTGTTCTCCATCTGCTCATCCCCCAGCCTGGATTGGTACCAGGGATTACCCCGACCCAGGTGCAGCACCTTGCACTTGGTCTTGTTAAACCTCATGAGATTCCCATGGCCCACTTCTCGAGCTTGGCCCAGGTCCCTCTGGATGTCATCCCATCCTTCAGGTGTTTATAATCTCTGTCTTGCTTTCCTCTCTTAAGTTCCCTGTGGCTGATGTTGGTATCCTCCTCATGAAACTGAAGGACATGACGGAATCTCGTTCCAAAGAAATCAGAAAGACGTTTGCTACTACTGACCCTGAGCAGACCAATGTCGTTGACTATGGCACTTTCAGGTAAGACAGTGGATTTGGGGTTTTAATACTTAGTGAAGGCACATTCCCCCAAAATGTATAAAGCATGACTGGTTTTTCATGCCTTCCGTTTTTTAGCTGACAAATGGCACAGATTTGTTTTGCATTTACTTGGAGATTGTGATAAAGAAAGTGAAAAAAATGAAAAAAAAAAAAGAGAAATGTGATAGTTTTGAGTAAGCTGAAAAGCACAACTGAAATCTGTCTACTTTTTATGGAGCTGGCACGGGGTGTTGTGAAGAAGGCACAAGCCAGCAGTAATATATACACTGAAATATAAAGAAAAGTGCATCCTAAGAGTCAAACAAATTAATTAATAATTTTGAAATTAAGGGAGGAATGTCTGTGTTGCCTCCCAAAAATGATGTTATTTGGGTTTTGAATCACTGATGAAGAGTCTTGATAGAACCAGGGTGTGTTGAAATTACAGGAGGCAGTGGTAAGCATGTTTAAAAAAAACTGGAAAGCAGTAGTGAGAGCAATAATTAATACTTGGATAGTGATTTCAGCATAGATAGAGGGAGCAGGAATCTGAATTCTGGCAGTGATCCAGATATGGCAATGGACAAATATATAGATACTTGAAAAAGGAAATCATGCTCAAATACAGGCTGATTTCAGCTTATCCCACAGCCAGAATACTTGAACATATGAACTGTTTTGGGTAAAGTTAATTATGTGGAACAGAGGAGAAAATTTTACTTAAAAGAATTTGGTTTTCACAGAAGTAATACACTGTGTATTTAGGAAGTGTTGTAATAACTAAAGCATACAAGTAGATGTATATTGCTTGGAATGTCATCCCCATAGGAATGTTAAACAAGGCAGAAACTGCTTCAGAAATATCTCAGAAAAACAATAGATCAGCAGAAGATTCTTCCAGCAACTCAAAGTGAAAGTAGTGAGAAATTAAAACAAGCTGCTATTTAGAAATGAAAAATAAGTGTTTAATAGGTAAGATTTAAACTAAGGCCACAGTTATTGGCAGCTTCTGGTGAAAATATTTCTGAACTCAGATATTTTACTCAACAGAAGCAAGAGTTTGAATTGTTAATTGCACTAAGAGGGAAAATGTTATTACTAAAGTAAGAAGGGGAGAAAATTGAAAGGTAATCTCTATCTGGAGAAAGTTTTTAGCGCTTGGAGAAGGGTTTTAATTTATGTACACAGTTGCTATTTAAAATCAAATAATTATGTCTTTAATTTAAATTATGAAATAATCATCTGCAAAACTTTGTCCACGCATGAAGAGCAGGTCAAAGGTTTGGAACATTTGCATGAGGAAGTCAGGGAAGCACACTTTTGGAAGGGATGACTGTGCTTTTAAACAGCAGGGAAAGATTTTTGTTTTACCAAGAAGAGGCTCAGTTGGGTGTAAATTTAATCATGGACATATTCTGTGCAGCTGTGAACAGCCCAGTTGTTTAATTTAGGGTGGTGCAATTCTGTGGCATGGAGAGAGATGTGTCTAATTATGTGATATTGAGGGACTTTGCTTCAGCAACAAAAAAATGCAGTAACCCTCTCCATAGCAATAGAGCTGGGGAACCCACATGACAAAGGTTTTCTTGGCCTCAATACTCACCTGGGCCAGTCTGAACACCCACTAATGGCCTACATCCCTCCTGCAGAGGGAAGACAGGGGGTCCAGCAGAAAACATGTATCTTATTTTAGAATGAAAGAAGTATTTTTTATGACAAAGATGACAAAGACAAGAGCGCTTTGCATCTATGAAAAGTCAAAGGTATTTTTCTGTGAATAGAGTATGTATTTTTCTTTCATTTTTTTATTGTGTACATCACTGTTCATTTTTAATCTGCCGTGGCATTTGATGGTTGTAAATAACTACAAATGATTATTTTTAGTACAGGCAATTATCTTTGTGACAGCTTCAATGATAATCCTCTTTTCTTATCTTAAATACAACTAAAGCTTCACTGTGGTCTGAATTTGGCTGTTCAGATTTCTTCCTTTCTACCTATGTAATTTTATATGAGCTGCATTTAAAAATACACCTAGAATTATGATGTAGCGAAGCAGAATTATAATTACGCAATTTACTTCAACTGCTTTGAGAATCCAAATCTATGGTACTTCATCCAGAAAATAAGTATGTGATGTACACTGAAGCTACCCCTTAAGCTATCATTAAAACTATTGAAAGCTTTCTTAAAGGAGAACAAAGAATCACTAAAACTTAGATGCTTGTGCATCACACAGCCCTCTCCAGTCTATTTTTTCCCATAAGCTACTGGCAAGACTGTTTGCTGTTACAGACAAAGAGCCATGTGGGTCTAACAAGGATGCCTATCTTCAATTCAGCTTGAGAAGCAGCTCCCTTAAGCAGTTAACTACTATTTGTTCTTTCTGTAATAAATTCAGATTGCAATCTGTCTTATTCTTCTAGAACAACAAAAAAAATAAAACAAAAGATAGCAAAGCTGTGGGAAAAATTATTGCAGCTTGTTTCTTTTTGTCAGGAAGAGTTTGGATGTTTAGAGTTTAATTCTGTTTGTAAGTCTTGAGTCCCACTCATTAGTCCCTGGCAATCACTAAAATATTCCTTAGTTCCCAAATGAGACAATAATTTTATCTGTGGGTTCTGGTGATTTGATTGTCACTGACTGGATTGAGAAAATAAAAGACTTTTAAAATCCTGACACCGGAAAAAAATTCCGTGCCATGTATGGAAATCCAGTATGTGGAAATATTCTGGTGGCTGATGTTATCTCCACTCTTCCAGCTCTGCCAGCCCAGGGATTGGGAGTGCCAGGCTTATCAGGCAGCATTGTCCTCCTCTTTGTGTTTGCAGTAGTATTACTGCAGGATGCAGGAAGGAGACTCCAGTTTTGACTGGATCTCTGAATGCTGCTACAGTATAAATAATAATATTCAGTAAGTGGCATAACAATACTGACAAGATAATGATAGTATCAGTAGATGGACTAAGTTTTGGTCATTAAGTTTGCATGATCTCAAGTGGGCTTTGCTTCTGTCAACAACTTGTCATTTTCTTGTATTTATTTCCTGCCACTGCAAGTAAAGGATTGTTCTGATTTATTTAATATGAAAAAAGCAGCAGTTGAATCAAAGTAGGCACTCTACAGTGTTTAGTATTCCTTTTTTAATAGCTGTGTAAGTGCAATCATATTATATAGAGGGATACCTTTATTTGAACAGGACCACACAAGCCTCTGAGAGGATGCAAGTGAAAAATTACATTCCTTGTTAAAATTTTGCAAATTTGGAAGGGTCCTAAGTTTCTGTGCTTTCAGGTCACATGTGGATGTGAAGAGACCCATCACCAGATTAATTCAACAATTTAAGTATTCTCCAGCCAGCAGTTTGAGTCTTGTGTCAGAACTTTGTGAATCACTACTAATTTATTCATTTGTTTTCAAGGATCAGTGTGTAATCACAGCGATTCAGTATCCTCAGGGGTACCACGAGTTACAGCACTAATTGCATCAGCAATTATGTTGAAGTTTATTCATAATGCAGTTTATCCAGAAATATTATATGTAATTAATCTAATTTTGATTGAGACACATAGGCCTATGTTGATTCTTGCTGATAAAAAAATCTTGTTGAACGTGAGTGGACCAGGGGCAAATGTTTGGGATCATGGAGCCAATGTAGTTACACTAAGCCAGGTTTGACAAGAGGACTTGTACAGCTGAGGGAACTGACAGTGAGTGCCAGCTCTGGCCTATCAGATGGATCTTGGGAACATTTCTTCTCCCTGGACTGGGCTGATTCATGTGAGCAGCACATGTGGTCTTGGGAGAGCACATCTCATGCTCATCCCTGCATGGGGTAGGATTCTCTGCTTTCAGTGTCCAAGCTTAAACTGGTCTTGCTGCTGCCTCCAGTCTTCCATTCTTTTCAGGAGGCTTTGTGATTACAATTTGAATGTAATTTTCTTCCTCTCTCTGCGACCAATTTCTGTTTCCCTTCCCACTGATTTTCCCTGAAAGCTGCCCATCGGGCCCAGCTTTCACAATGCTTTGTGAACTTGCTCTGCCATTGTTATTTCTCTCTCTGTGTTTTATGCTGCTGTTGTTGTGCATGCTTTGTGTTAACAGAGAATTAACCATGTGCTGCAGAATGCAAAATACAGTTAGGAACAAAACAGAGCAATACCTTGTTATTGCACTGTCTTGCTGTATAAATGCAATGACAAAATTCGCTCTGCTAATGTTCCATACCAGGATGGCATCTCTTGTAAAACTCTTCAGTCATGATTAGTATGTATTTTTGCATTATAGCCAACTGCTGAGGAAATGTGGACGTCCTTCCTCCCACAAATTTAGTGATTGGTTTTAACTCATTTATTTAAAACTAACATAGGCTGTTGTTTTTGTGAGCAGAAATTGGATAGTCAGCGTCACTGGCGGAGCCTTCTCAGAACACGAAATTATGACTCTTGGACGTCACTACGGTGTGAGAGATGACTGTCAAACAGACCTCACCTTCCTCCTTGCAGGGGCTCATGAAAAACTGAAGAAAAATAGCTTTGAAAATTTTGATCAACTGTCTGCAGTGTTTATGTACTACGACCGTGAAAAGTAAGTTTCCTTTATTTATCCAAAGCTGTTATTTTGGAAGCTCTGCTTGTAAACTGACCAACCTGCTGTTTGTTGCTGAGGAAATGATATGTTGTGGCTAAAGAATATTATGTGTAATGTTAAGCCTCTCTCAAGACTTGGGAGTAGACAAGAAATGGACAGACTTTTTGCCTCTTTTTCATTTTGTGTGTGGACTCTTTATTGTAGGTGCTGCACTGAATGTTCTGTGACATCAGATACCTGTTCACAGGCAAAACACAGACGTTTAAATCAAAGAGGAAAAATAGTGATTTTAGGGAAAAAAGAAAAGATTTGGATTCTTTATGCCACTCATTTGCCCTTTTTGTTTTGTAAAGAATCACAGGAATCATTAATGACCTCAGTATGGGAGAGAAAGACCACGATGTGACATTCAAGTTTCATGGCTTTGTAATAGTGAAATTCCATAAAACCTTGCTTTCTTTACCTCTATCCCCATATTCCTTATGTGTTTTCCTATTCACAGAAACATTCACTTGAAGCAAACCTGGAAAATACCTAATGTATACTTCTACCCCTCTCTTTCTGATGTGCAGATGTGGAGTGCTGCCCTATGAGACGTGCAGGACTATTTGCAAGTCCTTTAGGTTGCCAGTGTCTGATGAAGTTCTAGAAGCTTTACTGACCGGGTAAGTTAAGGGCAGATAGTGTGAGCTGCATGCATGGGTGCAAATCAATGCTAAATATCTACTGCCCACACAAATGTTAAGATTTTGTCATTTATTTAATATGAATCACTTCATGATGAAGATTTTGTCCCGATACACATGCAGACTTTACTGCTTATAGAATATTTATAATCGAGGTGCATCCATCTTAGCAACTTCTCTTCATTTTGTCTGGCATGATAAATCATCTGAGGTTTGGCACAATTCTATGGAATTAGTCTTTTAGCAATCAGGTACTGATACTTACCATTTTCGGTGAGATTCACTTTTTTTTGCTTTAGTTTTTCATGTGTGTAAGGTAAAAACAGTAATTTTATTGAAAGCACATTATGTGAGTTTTAAGAAACACATCAGGATGAATCCAATGAAATGTCCTTGAATCAAGTAGACAGCATCAGTAGTCAATAAAATTGTTTTTTTGCACCTATTAGCCTCACCTGAAACCCATTTTATTATAATTTTTGAAAAGGAAAAGGAGTGTTGGCATGGTTTTGGTACTTTTCCCCAGCACATTTAACTGTTTTGAGACAAACTGCTTGGCTAGTTGTGTTAATGGGAATAGAAGTGAAAAGAACTAGTATTCAGTACACTTGTACTGAAGACTAGAGTTCAAAGTAAGCTGTGGTGCTTTGAACACTGATGTCTTGCTGAGTTTGGTTTTCATGGCCAGGTTTTCTGGTAGTAGGTGCAAATGCATACTCATTGGTTTCTTCTTTGCCTTGTAGGAAATCCTTAAATGTTTTGTCTGTGCCTTCTATACTACATTAAAAACAGGAGCAGATCTTGTCTTTTGTCATGTTTAGATGCTTTCAGATAGATATGCTTCTTGATTTCAGGAGGAGTTGCAAACTAAGTATCTGGGTTTATGAAATAATGTGAAGACTCTTGTCAGGCATTTTAATAAAGCTTCTTCGTATTGCAAGCAAGAATTCTCCTTGAAATCAAAACCAGCAAGTCTGCTTTAAGAAGCCAAAGGGGATATTTTTCACAAAGCCTCCATTTCTATACCAAAAATGTTCAGAATAGTGTCTTGCAATAGCCAGATACACAACTTGGGCAATTTGTTTGCTGTTTATCACTTCTGACAGTGAGTTATAAGCATTAGTCATCAGAAGCATGTCTGAATTTCAACAGTAATCTAAAACTTATTTTTTAGAACTCCCACCAAGCTGCCCAACACAATTGTTGGAAGACAATAGACATCTTGTATTAGACAAGGGGTTCTTATAGTTTCCACTTCTTAAGGGCTGAAACTGAATAGATGCACAAGGGACCAAAAGTTTTTATTTGTGTACTAAGTCAGTTCTGATGAGAAACAGGCAAGCCTGACACATCCTGGGCTCCAGGGACATGTTTATTGTTTGTGCTAGGGAAAGCTTTTGTGTCCTGAACCATTTCTCTCCTGAAGAGTCTGAGTGTAGTCAGTTAACAAGGAAAAGCCCAGTACGCTATAATAAAAACTAGAGGTAAGCTTAGAAGACAAGGAGGAGATGAAGGGCTGGATTTCACCCAGCTTTAGCCAGGTACCCATGACAACTGGAGGAGGTTTCAGCTGCTGTAGGTTCTTTCTGTGGGTGATGGAGAAGGAGAGAGTTATCTCCTCGGTTAGTATAAGAGCTGGATTTCCAAGTTACCATCCATTTTCCTTGGCTTCTAAAGGGGCTGTGGCCAGCCTGTCTTACAGATTTCTGTGTGGGAAAGGTGAATAGTGTGAAGCTGGGCCTTGGAAATCAGTGTGAGAAGTGCTTCCTATGACATTGAGCCTTGTGTAATGCCAGTTCTAAGTTACACCACCAACTGCTTCCAAGGTACAGTTTACGCGGTGTCCCAGCACTGCAGGTGATAAGGAACATTGTCACATACTTAATAATATGTGTACTTGGCACAGCTCAGGAAGTTTATTGCTTTATCAGGGAAAGACTTTTTTGAAGTCTATTCAATAGGAGTTAATTTCCAGTAATCTGGAAATCAAAGAGTTGTATTGGCTCAATGAGATTTAGACTTTTCTCTTGCTTTCCTCCTGCTTCATGTGGTTTTCTTCAACACTGAAGAATCATGAAACAGGCAGATTTATTGTTCATAAAGAGCAGTCTCGCTCCTGGGGAGTGTGCCATTCAGTGTGGCTGAAGTTTGTCAGTAGTATTCTTTCTCTGTTTCTTTTTGTTTAATGAGGAAATGTGTAATTTTGTGTCTGAAGCAAGGGGTAGTTGTGGTCCTTCCCTGTGTGTTGGTATCTATGAAGGAAGAAAGTGGTACAGTGAGAGTTGTTGGGTTCCCACAGAATCAGTGTATATAGCTAATGCACTAGCTGGACCCTATTCAGCTATAAAGGGATGCTGGACAATGTGATCAGATAATAGTTGAAGACTGAAGCTGTGTGTTTATTCAGCTTTGCTATCTGAGATTAGGTGGCAAAGACTTTCTGCAGGACTTAATGACTATTTTTCCATTTTGAAAGGTAATAGTCTTAAAGTATTTATTATTTACATTTGTAAATTATACTGCAATGATGTGTCACTTATTAAAGGCATGGGATGGGACTAGAAATTGTCTAATTTCCCTCCAAATGACCCAAGACTTTGTTTATTGTACCCAAAGACCACTCAGTTGCCACATAGTGCAGGGAGAATTATCACAAAGACTGGGATTTCATGAGACATTTTCATATTGTCTCTCTGGTGTTAATTTATACTTTTAATTGTGGGATGGTGAAATAATAGGATTTAGGTGCCCAACAATGTATCCATTTTTCCAGTTTACCTGAATTGGCACATTAAAAAGTATTTCCTTTTGTCATCAGCATTTCCTCACTTTGTTTTTTAATCACAGAACAATACAGAACTTTTAATCACAGTGTATTAAGGGATGCAGATGGTACACAATTGTTTCTGCCAGAAAACTACAGTAGTCATTATAAGCATTTCTTTAAATTTATGCAGACATAATGAACAATTATAGTTTGTTTAATAAATAAATTTTGCCAAAGTGCTTAAGTAATGAATTTAGGGTTTATTTTCTATTAATTTTATTGACTGCAATGCTAAATGTATGCTAACAAGGACTTAAAAAGAGGCAGTCCTTTGCCAGAGGGTATATAAACAGCTGGCAGAGAAGCAAAGAAAAAATGGAGAGAAGAAAGAGTGGATGACAAGTTTACAAGTATTACATGTTGATTATTCTGCATTAATTTACATGTTAATTGTATGCCCCCTTTTTTTATAAATATGTATTTTAATTTTTTTAAAAAGCAGCTGTGTGATTTTTTACCTGTCTACAGTACCAAGGTGAGTCTGTTTGACTCTGAAGGGGGCTTGTGGTTTTGAAAAGGTGAATCCCTGGTGCCTCAGGTAGCAGTCCCTGACAGCAATGGGCTTCCTACATGGTCACCCCAGTTCTCAAGTCACTAATAGGCCAGGCCAGGCCACTCCTGCCTGCTCAGTTTTTCCCTGGATTGTAGTTGGTTAATAATTTTATACCTAGTTGCCTACCTGTAATGTTTTTTTAGGGCTGACCTTTTTCTTTCAGGAAAGAAACCCGCTTTTCCTGCTACATCAAGTGTCCCAGTAGCAGGAGCAAGAGGGGAAATGGTCTCAAGATCTTTTTCCTACACTCTGTCTTCTGCTTGTTACCTTGATTGCCTGAGACTCCCTATGCCATTTGTGATGAAAAGACTCTCTAGCATTTGTATTTGGATCTCTTAAAACAAATTATTTCTATTATTCAGTATTCTGAGGAATTGATGGTTCAATTCGTAGTTGTTCCAGACATGAATAAATGTATACACAAGATGGTAGCCATTAATTAATTCCTACTGATAGGCTGCCTGGACTTGTTGTGCTTGCTGGTTTAAATTTTCCAGTTTATGACACTTTAGGTGTAGACCTGTGACAATTTAGTCTCTGTACACCTGTGTTGCACAGGCTGAGGAATCCTAACATTTTCTCCAAGGTTAAAGTAGCATGATGCTTCTGCTCTGTTATTATCAGATTAACTTCTCAATACACCTTATGCAAAACAAAGGAATTAAAAAAACTCCCCAGGTACATTTAAATTTTCACATAAATGTTTGGGTTACAGATTTCTTGATGGGAAAGAAAAAATATACTAGGAAGTAACCTTTACTCACCAAAACATCCTCAGGAATGGTCATAATGTGATTTAACCAGATTTTTCACATATCTGGATTATTTAATTACAAGTGTGTTTTTAGAAGCAGAAATATGACATTATTTTTGTAATGTCAAAGAAAAATAAAAAGCCCTGCAAACTATGATAGGGATGGGGGAGTGACTTTCATAACTAAAATCACATGCATTGGTGAAGTCATAGGGCAAAACTGAAGAGGAGCATGGTTTCAAGCTGTCTTTGTTGCATCTTCTTGATAAGACAAATCTAATTTCCTTTCTTGAAGAGCACTGTCAGTCTCAGTCTTATTAACTCCAGCCACTGAAATGTATGACATCTCTGTCCTAATAATGCACACATTGATAACATCTCCTCAGTCCATCTGGATGCTCTGTGCCAAATCACTGATGTGTGCTTTTAGTAGATTGATACAATAAGTCACAGCAGTAAGGAGACCTAAAGAGTAGATTTTTTTTTTCTTTCTGGATTATCTAGAGTAATATTTTAAACTGCTTTCTGTAGCTATTCAAATATGGGATTTAGGAATCCCATTTCCTCCACCCATGTTAAAATCTTTGATATATAGTTAATTTCATGCCCATGTTGTCATCTCAGTGCTGGGACATCAAAGGACTTTTCTCCTTGTTAATGTTTGTTAAAAGCAGAAGCAATCCTTTCCTCAACTTCATTGCCTTGACATAAAAATTAAGTCGTTACATGCCTTCACTTGTTCTTTGTTTAAAAATCCTGCTTATACAGCTCTGAGCCTTGCAGGAGAATTAATCTTTTGACTTTTCACAATGAGCAAACATTGTGATAACTGCATCACAGTAAAAGGAAAAATAATTTGTTGTGATAGTTCTGAAATTCCAACCTATGTGCCATTGTTTTTCTTTTTTCCAAGACTTATAAGCTTTTTGATTGTCTTATTACTTCTAATGCAAAACTCCTTTCTTTTCCCTATTGTCACCTTCAAAAAAACCCCCTGCAAGTAACAAGCACATCCCGGAAGTGGGAATGATAATTTTCTCAAATATTGGATATATTCCCCAAAAGTAAAGCTTTATGGAAGTGTTAACTTGCATGTGAACTATGATAAAGGAGCAAGCTGTCGTTGGAGGGTTTCTCGTGGCAGTGTTTCAGGCTCCATTTAGTGCTGGTAGCAGTAGCATTCTTTTCTGACTTTGCTTTCATGTTCAGCATAACTCACTGTACTTAACATTCCAGTTTATCACTAGCATCTCAGTTTATGGCTCTCAGTATATTTTATTATTATCTCTCCTGCTGACTATTAAATGAAAGGTGTGGGGGGAGGAGAGGGAGAGGATGAGCTGCAGTTTATTGCAGTTTATTTTTGTCACCGGATCTATTTCTCCTCCGGTATGGTTTTCCAAGTTTGTGCTATAAATTCTCCCTTAAAGTGCCTTCATGCTTAATTTTTATCAGAACCCTCTGCAGTTATTTGAAGGGATTTGAGGCCCATGTTTTGTGCACTGCTATTTCTTTAAGAGCAAGGGAAAATGATTTTCTAAAAGACTCGTTTCCTGGAGATGATCTTGCTCCCGTGCAAGAGTATTTGTCTCAGGGCAGAGTTGTTTAACCTGATGTTTCGCACAAAAATAAGAGGTATTGAGCCTTGCTAGGTGTTTATGTCTCCCCATAGACCCCAGTGAAGCACAGACACTTCCAGGATGTGCTTTTGTGCTGAAACTGTGTCCCTTTCACGGGCAGGTGGTGTTAGGTGAGACAGGTGTCATTCACAGAAGCTGCCAGTGCTGTATTTATAGCAGAGCAGTTGAGCTGTTCATTTCAAGAATGATTTAAGCTTCAGCTTGAAGGTATCTTTCAACATTTGACTGGTGCTGCTGAAAGAACAGTGCCTCAATCACCTCTCTGTTTTGCTGAATTGAGGACTTCTATTTCTGAAGCTGCTTCATCCAAACCAATGGCAGAAGGATGATGTGGCTTACAAATCTGTCCCTGTGGGGTTCTTTAGTTCAGGGTAAGGATTTTAGAAACTGGAGGGAGGGAAATACCATTTTCCACATGTACCTGTAGACCTTAGCTGGCAGCATATATATCTTCACGCATTTAGGGGACAGTCATAACAGACACACAGATGTGTTTATTCCATGGAAATAAAGAATGGTGCCGTAAACCAACTTCTAAATAACAAGACTTGTGATTTTAAAATCTGGCTATTATTTGATAGGTTAGAGAGCTGTGTGTTTGTCAGTTGTAAACTTAATCCAAGGCATATGCAAGCAGCATTTCTAAAGGATTGCTTATTTTCAGGAAATGATTGTAGAAGTCATAATAAAGCAGGTCAATTGTGTTCCAACACAGGTCTTTCCTATAATTTTGTTTCTTTTCTGCACAAAGGATTCATATACTGATCATCCCAACTCTGTTTGTCACAAGTTATGAGATCCCAATGTTGGAAAAGGTTGGGCAATGCTTCAACATTAAAGTGAAATTGGTTGAAATTAAATAAAAATAAAGAAGTTGAATTCTACTCTAAGAGACAATAATAAGGTGTAAGAATATGGAAAGGAATGTATAATATAGAAGTTCCTGACAGCTTGTACTGTGTTTTCACTCCTTCCAGTGTTTGGAAATAAAGGAGTAAAAAAAATTATTATCCAAAAGATAATGTATTACTGTGCTGTGATAACATGATAAAACTTTACTAAAAATTCCTTTTAACCTCGAGTCATCTTATGGATATTCTGCTTAGGTATGAAGATGACCATAAGCAGGTGAACTATCAGATGTTTGTGCATGGGCTGAACTGGAGAGAGAATCAAATCCGTCCTGTCCCGACAGTAAAGGGTCGTATCAAGGTAAAACCAGTGTATCTGATCAAGGGAATAGCACAGCACAGTGATATAATTTTTCCAGCTTTAGCAAGAGTGTTTTAACCAGTGGACACTACAATATTTTTTCATATTTGTGTATTTATGCCTGTTTTCTTCAAGTAATTAACTTTTTCTGAGAGGTTTAGAATGAAACAGAGCAGTCAAACAAGTCTGAGGAGATGCCTAATAGGTATCACATCTCTGGAACATCTTTACAGAAGAAAACAAGAAGAGAATGGGAAACAGGTGTATTTGTCCATGGACAATGGACCTGAGTGCTGTTTCCCCCCACAAATATCATTGTTACATGTCAAATGATCTGTTTTCTTGCTGAAATACTTTAAGCTCCACTGACACTGAAGCAAATAACTATGAATTTTGTATAACTCCATAGAAAATTGTACACAACACACCACTGCACTGGTAGTTGTACACTGAGAGAAGTACTGATGGATCCACTTTGTATATGTGCACCAGCCTGCTACTTAGGGTAAATAAAAATGTGGTATCAACAGACTGCAGAGATTAATCTGATCTTGCCATCTTGTGCTGAGTGGAACATTTTAAAATAGATGGTCCATAAGGCAATTATGCTGAATTTTAAAAAAACTTTGTAAGAGATAAATCCAAAGCCCTTCTGCCAACACATCATTTTGCTGTTCTGACCTAGCAATGTGTTGTACAGAATGTGTTTGATTGTATTCAGACCATTTAGGAACGTAGCATTCTTTTGAATTCAAGTTCAGTTGTGACATAGTTTAAACCAGTATTCTTCAAGCACTGTGCTACTAACCTGACTTCTCACTCTTACCTGACTTGCCAGCTCTTTCTTCTGTAGCATCTCAAACTGTCTGTGATGTCTGAGGGCCCAGTTCTCTGGGGGTTTGCTCTGCTTTCCTTGGTGGTTTATTTTTCACTTTGTCGTTGAGAAGAATTTTTCCATCTTGTGCAGATAAAATAAAAACCCTTCCACATGTTTTATGCAGCAGTCCTGTGGTTCAACGTGTGCATTAGTTTTTGTTCAGGGGGTATTCTTTGTTTTAATGGAAGAATTCTGTGCTTAGGTTATAACTCAGTATTTAAACAGTGATTGCTCTCCGTGAATTGTGTCAGGGTAGGGACCCTTGTGGGCCTCAGTACCACAGACTCAGAAAGAAACTCAGAGCCCAGAGGATTTTTTCCTTCAAGGTGGTGCTAAGCTCTTTACCCAAAAGCAAGGATGAAAGAAGAGAAGGCACAGATATTCTTGCTGTTGAATGTATTTGACCATGGTTGTCCCCTCACAGGGTGGCTTTCATAGCCACTGAGCACCTCTGGTAGGTGAGGGAAGGAGATGGCTCCTACATGGTGAAGTTGGGGTGCAATGGTGGTGGAACCAGGAGTCAGCCTTCACACTGAAGATGGGGAGTAAAAGGTGCTTGTGAAACAAGCAGGGGGTTGAAGTGGACATTGGTGGTGAAACATTTTGTTCTGATCAGAGTACAAGGTGAGGGTTTGTTTGGGTATGAAAGAGGTGTTGTCTTTGCCTGGAGGGCAGCCAGTGGATGCACTTTAGGGTTGTGGCTGATGCCTGAGATCCCAGTTGGGAGTGGTACATGGAGTTATGGTACAGGAAGTTTACAGCTCAAATCAAAACGGAAAGAAGAGCATCAATAGAAGGTATAATTGGTCATCATCGTGCTGGGATAATCAATTCCTATCAGCTCCAAAGCTTTGCTGTCACTGTCATACTGCCATCCCACAGTGTTTTTAATGGATGCCAGTGTAGTTTACTGAGTTTTATTGATTTTGTTATTTTGTTAGTTAGCTGCAGTGCCTAGGCTGTCTTTGGTACAGTACAAGAGTATTTTAACAAAGAGGTAAATGCAAAATGGAAAAAATCAGAGAAAGGAAGGAATTTAAATCTTGTTCAGCTTTAGAATTCAGTTGTCATTCTGTACATGACTTACCGTGAATTAATAGCAGTATTTTGGAGCTACAGTACCTGTATTTGACAGCTAGATTTCTGCAGCAGAGTTGTGATTGTCTAGCTGGCTTTTTTTCTTCTTTCTCTCTATCTTGTTATTTTGTATGATTTTTGGTGTTGAGACATGGATGACTTTAGAATTTCAAGTATAAGCAACTTAATAAAGAAAACGTAGCATTATTTAATTTGAAAATGTCTGTAAAAGGGCTAACAGAAAATATTTTTAATAAAATATTCTGCAAGATTTATAAAAATGTGCATGTAGTAATCTTATAAGAGGATGTTTTGTATAGACACAATTTTTCACAGATTTGTCTCTGGAATTGAAGCAGCTCATTCAATTTTATGTTGATCAGCTTTTAATTATTCTAGTTTTCATTATTATATAGTAAGATATTCTCTGCATTACTTATTTCAGAAGCAAAGTGACTGGAGCCAAATACCAACATGCCCTCCTGTGCAAGTGGTCAAATACTTACCTCTTCTGGATGATCTGTTTGGCAAGGAAGAATAATCTCATCTGTGCAAGGCGCTGCTTTTAGATTAGTGCTTCAGCTCCAAAGATTTTGTAGACAGATACTGAAAACATTTCTTGTAAAACAAGAAAATATATGTTTTATTACATTTAATTTCTTGTTCCAACACTGATGCATACTTTTGTGTTTTTGGAACCCCTTTTAAATCAGCAGTACTCTGTCATACTTATAGAAGCATAATTAAAACTATATCCTCTGATCTTTGTGTCTGGTTATATGGAGAATTTGCAAGTATTGAGAAATCTTTGAGTCAAACAGTGCACAATCTGACTGACCCTGCTTTGTTCTGCAAACAAATGTTGTTGGATGACCTCTTCAAATGTTAGGTCGGACTGCATTAGCACAATAATGCAATTCCATTCAAATTTCCTCCCTTGCCCTTCAGCTTATATCTGTGTTTTTGCTGTATCCCCGTGGTGATGCTCGAGTACTGTTTGTGTCAAACTTTGTTATTTTGTGGAGGAAATGCCAGCAAGGTTTTCGCACAGTATAAAGTTGCTCTGGTATCAGGGATAATTATAGCCTTCCAAAGTGGAAGCAAATGTTTTGTAGGCACGGCAAGGAAGCTGCCAGTTCTTGCTTTTTGTTTTCAATGTGACTCAGGTTAGTAGCCACCCAAGCTTGCTTGGGTGGGACGTGTACGAAGAGAAGGTGTTCCAGTACAGTTTTATGGTGCAGCTTCTTGCAGCAGAACTGTACTTGCCCTTTGAAAACTAATTGATGCCTTTCTCTTTGCTCCATGACTAAATGGGGTTCCTGTTAGCATTTTTGTATCTTTTTAAGCTTATGCCACCTCAAAGCCATGATTAGATCTGGATTTACTGCATGTTCTTTGAGAGAAGTAATTCCCCCAGTTTAAGGAATGGAAGAGCTGAGGTGAAGGCGGAGCTGACTCATCCAGGTGATTCCACAGGGGAAGGGGAAGAGGTGTGAGCCTGGGAAGCCTACACTTGCAGTACCCTGCATTTTCTGTAATCTGAAATTACAGTTTGGGAGGAATTGTTTGATTTAGAAAGATGAGAATTCAATGTATCCAAATCCCCAAACCAAGGGAAAGACAATAGTAATTATTTTGAATCTTGGAGATCCTTTTTAGAATGAAAGTTCCATTTAGAAATACCTTCCTGCACTTTTGCATGGTAGTGTAAATGAAATTTTTATTCTTTTCCCACCATATGGCAAAATATTAACTTTTTGGCAGCTCTTCACCTTTTTTGTCAGCAAAAAAGGTCTTGAGGCAAGGCATAATTATGTGTGTTGCTGCTACCTAGGAAGATGTTTGCAATAAAATGGGCAAGTCACGGTCTGTGTCTAGGGGTTCAAAAAGAAAACTGGGAGAACTTTAAGTGCCCCAGGTTGTAGACAAGACCATGAATTGCTTTTTGATCCAAAAGAGGAAAATGGTTTCTTACATGACAAGAAAAATGTCTGACCACAGGGACAGTGTCAAGAGCAGAAACAACAATTTGCGTTTGAAGCCAGTTTGGTGAAAGCTGAATATTTTTATAACATGCCACCAAGACTGAGCTTGACAGTAAATGAATGCAGTTTCCCTTGTAAATTTTTAATGTTCCCTAGACTTCAGAAGGTTTTGTTTCAGTTGTGGAAATCTTGCACAGCTGAGGGTTTCCAAGAAAAGTTGACTCTGAACATTCAGGACTTCTCAAATAGCTTTTAGAAAAGACAAATTCACTTTGTTTTGTTTTCCTTTATGCGTATGAGAAAAGAGGAGCCTTTTTAAAAAAACAAATAGTTCAAGAAATATAGTTTTTTGTAATTTCAGGTGTAACCATGTGCATAGGTCTAGTCAATCACAGCCTGTTCTGGTTTGTCATGGTCAAGAAAGGTGACTGCAAACTGGAACCAGTGCAGAGAAAAACTAGAAAGGTGACCGAGAGAATGGAGGTAAGAAGGATGACCAAGAGAATAGGGATAAGAAAGGTGACTAAGGGAGCTTGACTTATTTAGTGAAATAAAGTGAAGTCTCAGAGAGAATACCATTGCTCTCTGTAAATACATGGTTGCCAGGTAAGGAAAATCTGGTTCAGGTAAGAACATTGGTAGTCTAAGAAAAAATGGGTATAATTTGCCATGAATAAATTAAAGATGGATTACAAACTGTGGTTTCTCACCTCTAAAACAACAAGCATCTCAAACAGCCTTCCAAGACTGCAGTACTCAGTTTTAAGGTTGAGATGGGTCATCTGATGATGGTAATTCTAGGGTGTTTATTAATACCATTCTGAATTATTAGTCTCACTTCTGTTTTTCCCCTTTTCCCATGCATCTTGCATAACCCTGACAAACACAAAACCATCTCCTAGGAGAGGCCAGACAGGCCCTGAAAAATATTTTCAGTGCTTGTCACTGTGCTCACAGTGTGTCATACGCTGTGGCCTGACATGTTATAAACACTTTTCACCAGGTTTTCTTTCTTACAAGCAGCAATGCTTCCAGAATGGAAAGCCCTGGCCAATGAGCAGTCCAATAATCCTCTTTGTATAATGTGACTTACAGCATATGCTGCCCAGAATATTTCAACCTCTCCTCTAATCCTGCCACCAGCTTCTTCTCTCTTTTCACATTGCTTACGAGGGGCCTGAATGAAGACAATACCACAGGATTATGTTTCAAGATGGCAGGAGGCCACAGCTTTAAAGCATGCATGGTATAAAGGGGAAGGCAGCCCCCACAGTTGCCATTAATCTCAGCTCTCGATCTCTGTAGGGCAGCCAAAGATATCTTCTTTCCACAAGTATCCGTGCTGTCCCCGGCAGGAGCGGAGGGATTCACGTTACAGGGCTGGCTCCCCATCCCACTGCTGGGCTCTGCTGCATGTTCAGTGTTAATGTTTGTTTCCTCAACTTGGCATTTGAGAATATGAGGCTCCAAGTTCTCAGGAATAGCTGCTGCTGCCAGCAAATGGCTGCAAACGGGCTGGCTCGTGGCCAGCGTATGGTCCTGTCCAGTTCAGAGTGCCCCTGGTGGTCACCAGCAGATGGGCCCCCTCAGACATGGTCACCACAAGAAGCCATAGAAAACCTGTGGGAAAAACATGGAATTTCCTCACCAGGCAATACTTTCCTGTGTCCTGCTCATCATCCAGGGAGCTACTGTGTTTTTCTAGACCACCAGCAGCAGACAGATGTTCATCTGTGTAAATGAAGGGATGCTGAAGTTCTCTTTCTGCATTAGTCCCTCATGCTGATGGGAGTTGATTCTATTTCATGGCAGAAAAGCTCTTCTCAGAAAAAGTTTGAGCTCAGTTGACTCCTACGTCTGCTCTCTCTGTTTTGTCCTCTTAGCCCAGGAGACATTTCTGCCTCCCAGAGGAAAACTTTCTGTGGGAAAACTGCGGGGATCCTAATTCCACAATAACCAATATGCTGGATGTTTTCAGTCACTTGACTGCTTTCAGGGAACAGCAGTCCATGTATCACTAACAGTAACTCACCAGTTGTGTGCTTGCTGGACCGTTCTAAATGTTCCTGTGGTTTGAGACATGGAACTAATAGAAGAGTTTTCCAGTTTTTAACATTTTGTAGTTCGGTGACATGGAGGGAAATATTAGTTCTTTAAGCAATAATGTCGTGTACCCTCAGTAACATATCTATTGTGTATTTACTTGCAGCGATTCTTCCTCTTCAAGGTGACTTAACCATCAAGCCCCAAACCAGTAGCTCGTTTGAGAAGAAGTTTAGAATATCATGAGGAAAAAAAATACCACAATCTGAGCTCAGTTAGATTTTTTGAAATTATTTTTAGGTTTTAAAGGGCAGTATAAATAACATTTTGGAGGAAACCATGTGGAAAGAAGACTTTTAAAAGTTGCTGTTTGCTCTAAATTAATTTGTTTTTGTAGTTTGCTTAGGGTGGTGACTCAGACCCAGTCAGAGGCAGCACTCATGTGTTAGGCAGTGGTCAAACAAGCCAGAAAGGGGGTGGGGGTAAGTCTGTGTTTCCTGTATAAAGTTCTAAACTACTGAGGAAGCATAAACAAGACAAGGAAGGAAGTTAATGTAGCTATAATATATTAAGGTTCTAGATTGATTATATGAACTCTTTCTCTGCACAGTTGGTCATTTCTGAATCATCTGGAAGTTTCTTCTGGTATGTGTTACACACAAATAAACGAGCTATCCTCATCTGCCCTTCACCCCAGCCATCTGTCCTCTTTGCTCTCCCCTTTCATCAGGCAAGTTTTGTGTTAAGAACTAAGAACAAAGAGAAGGAAAGGAGCTGATTCACAAACTTATCCGAAATCTGATGCAGATCCCTCTCAAGCAGCGTGGTGGGATGATCTGTAACAGCACAAAATTCATTGTATCACCTAACAGGACTTGAAGGAGCTCCCACTTCCAAAGGCAAATCTGTCAGAAGAATGGCATTGTCTTGAAAGCCAAGAGGAAGAACCCTTTGCAGAGCTGCTGTGCTGCAGGTGGGACACAGCCTTCTTCAGAGTGAAATGAGGTTTATGGGTGAGATTTATGTCCCCTGCCTTCAGATGTCTGCACCTGCACTAGCTCTCTGGATCCCTTACTTGCCAATGGAAGGGCAATTGGCACATCTAGGGAGTGACCAGCCTACATGAATGTCTAGAGGAGGCCTGTTACCTCTTCCCATCCCTCTGAACTCACTGTGAAGGGATTTGAAACAACCAGCTAAATGTAGATCTTGACAGGACCTGGCTGTGCTTGAGCTTGACTCAGGCTCTGGCCAGTGGGTCTTGGTCAAACCTCACTCCAGCTGGGTAAACAGGAAAATGTGGGTTGATTTAAATGGAAGTACAGTTTCTTCTGTTGGAGCTCCTGAGAATCTAATTTAGCAAAGTATTAAAGCGTGTGCGTAAGGCTGTCCCTTTTGTTCAAAGCCACTCGAGTGTGTTGCAGGCAGCTCACTAAAATCCATCAAACAAAGCACTGCTGGAAGTGCTTTCCTGACAAAGAGGAATCTCTAATTCGAGGTATTTAGGAATTAAATCTTTGTAATAAGAAAAAAACACCCAACATGCTAGAAGGTAGCAGTGAAAGGAGGTGATATAGAATTGTCTGGACATGTTTATACAGGCTATATATTGTGTGTTGTTATTGTAGTTCTTCTACAATATAAGCTAGCAATTAGCAATTAAATTCCCATTATGGGATCATGTTGGTAATTGAGATAAACTGTAAGTGTGTAACTGTTTTAAACCTTTCTTTT